TATATAAGTATGTATTACATAATAAATATTACAAATCAGTTAAAGGTCGATTCTTTGTAATTTATAAGTATTCATATTTCTTCGTATCAACTTGATTACAGATGATTTAAATAGCAATACAGAAAAACGTTTATCCTATTTTTTTTAATATTTTTAATTTTTCCTCATAGGTACATTCAGAATGGAGTGACGTATTAATTTAAGTGTATCAAAAACTCATTGTCATTATTTTAAAGTGCAATTCAATGACAAATTTTATCGAAAACATTTAGGCGGCAAACTATGTAGAATTATATGTATATTTTTGCCACAGATTATGTAGCATTACGTATCAAGGCCTTCCTCAATGACTTTACAGTTGATGTATTTTAATAAAATTTAATATTAAATCCTACCTGCTAGTAGAAAATAATAAAAATGAATTAATAATAGATTTTAATTGTCTATAAGTTTATAGTTCGCTAATTTATTCTTAATTGTAATGTTAAGAACGTTTTCTAAGTAGTAGTATTTGATATTAGCCATTAAGGTCGCGGTAAACAAGAAATTCTCTAAATGTCGATGTTTAAGATCTGCATGAGACCTTTAAAGATTAAATATTTATTTAGTAAACATTAATCTGTACCAAGCCTATTGTTGTGAAAATAGGATTTTGTTTTCAGTTTCTGGCTTTAAACATCCATAAGTATTAATAAGTTATCGATTCGTAGTACTATATGAAGATTTTGTAATTTAGCTTAGTGTAAGGTTTAATGAGGTGGCAAAATTGTAATAAAATAATATTATTCTATTTTAAAATATACAAAATTTTAAAATCGTTTACGGTTGACAGCACGGACGCCATTTTTGCTTAGGTTCCTCTTAAACGAAAACACTTAAAAGGCGGCCATATTTTTTTCAAACTATTTATAAAAAACTGAATATTCTCTCAAAGAAGATTCAAATTTCGTTAGTTAATTAATCAAAACCTGGCATAGCTGGCGCCATTAAAATTGCGTAAAGGTCAGTATTTTAATATTTTTATTTTAATGAAGCATCATTGATGGCAAACTATAAATAGTATAAATACATGGTTAAATATACTCGTTATTAAATAACAAATACATATTTATATATTTACAATAATAAATGTCAATACAATTCCAAGAAAGGTACATAAAAGATACATATAAGGTACGTCATCCGAGTTATTTCTTTCTTAAATTAAAATTATGATTCTAATCCGAGTCCAAAACTTTTAACTTTTCAATTTGATGCGTTATAATTTTTGTAAGAAACAAATAAACCAACCTAAACTTACCTAATTATATCAATTTAAAAAAATATATGTTCATTACAAATCTATATAGTTTATATTTTTATAGGGTAGACAAAAATATCGATGTACCGTATTATAAAATGTTTAAAAGTACGGTGAATATCTTAAAACCGTTTAATTATTTAAGCACTATCATCGAACGAAACCGTTATGCGATTGTGAAATAAATACAATGACTTTTACAGTCTGCTAAACAAAATTGTTAATATCTCATTTGTGTAAGGTAATTACGGCTGTAGCGTATTGTTAGCCGAAATGCCGCGGTATCAGCGTCGATTATTCCGCAACTGTGTAGAACAATGTGGGTAGGTGCCTTTTCAATAAGCGGCATATATACTGCTTAATGCTTTACTCAAAATAATATTGTTCGATATCCACTCATTAAACAGTTATAGGTACAATATACCATGGTTTTGTGGTAAATTTAATATATTTGTTCACATTTCTATTTAAATTACTTCTGATAAGGCAAAGTATCCTATTATTTGGCATATTATTTGGTATATTATTTGGCATACTATGGCACTACATCGCGTATGTTCAGTAGATTAAAATAAAAAGTATGGGTAACTCGGGAAAGGTTACTAATTAGTGATTTCTATAAAATAAGATAAGAAATATATTTACTACGTTCCTAATAGGTTTCACAGCATTAAAATAGGTTGTATATCAGACTACCATTATGTAAATCTCAACAAATAATATGTATGATAACTTTAATTAATACATGCTATCAAATTAATGGTTTCAGCAAATGTTTTGCTATGGGAATGTTACATTTACGAGATGACGTAACCGCCAACCAAACTGTTATTAAGGGCAAAGCTTACGTTTTAATAATCACCCACGATTTTTACGCCTCATGCCTACTTCATCCATTATTCATCGACTGTGTGAACTCTTCAAGTATGCGTGTATATATAATATTGTAATATTATTGTTTTGTCCGTTGCTTAATTGCATATTTATGTCTATGCTTGCGGATGTCCGCAAATGACATGTAATCATGGGGTTCTAGAAATTATAATAACGCTAAAAATACATTCTACGCTGTCAACTGTGATACATCATCAAAATTTTACATAATAAATTTTGTTTTTACCTTTTGATCAGTACTTAATAATTTATATTTTAATATAATTTATTTTAATTTAAAAAAATGACATTTTACTTTAAGGTTATTTTCAAATGTCATTTACAAAGGTGTCATTTCGTTTTAGTGTCACGGTAAGATAAAGAACTTCAACACTGTATTGAAGTGAGAATCATAGTTTACAGAGGCCAGGTATAAGCACAACAGCCGGGGTGAACGACTGTGAGCAATTACTACAACCGCATCATTACTGGCCTATAGTACATGCAGCTTCTGCTATCAATTTTTATAACTTTATTTATAACCTTTATATAGACTAAATTGTTTATAATTTTCGCTTCCAGTGATTTTGATGAGTAAATGAATAATTTCGTTTTAAAATGCTTAGAAATTATTAAGTTATTGTGAAAAATGTTGCTATATTGATTCAATTTTATCTAAGCACTGTGAAGTATAAATAACAAATTGTTTTTCGTTGCCCGCTTATCATCAGATCAGACCATTGTTAGCCATTGCTTGTACGAGATCAAAATGTATCATTTGAATACATTGTTATTTTAGCTATCATAGTACATATCGCTCGGATAAATGCTATACAACGTATTTCAATCAAAAATACCGATAAGGCGATGAAATACCAAAAAAACTTGCTTTCAAATAGTTTGTGGAATATTTGAAATTCTATTTTATAGAAGTATGCAATAATGGCAATGTTTTATTTTTGTTTTTTATAATAATTAATACTATTATTAAGTTTTATATCAATCAACAAGTTTAGTCGTTAAATATTAACGAAAAAAAGCACTCGTCAATCCGAAATTTTGCAAAATGTAATTGATAACGTCGTATATCAGCGCCATCTATCCTTAAATGGAAGCGCGAAAATATATTCCAAAAGTTCCCACTGAACAATATACTACGAATGTTTATTTACATATTATAAGTATTTGTGCTAGTTACTGTATAAAATAAAATGACTTAAAAATCATGTCTCTTCGCCATAACCGAGACCTGTTGTTGAAATAATGTAAAAAAGAGTATTAGATTTTTAATCAAATAAAACAACTCTTCAATGCAAATGTTTAATTGACAAATAAATTCAGTATCTTAAATTGACATTTTATACTGATATATTAGAAAGCTTGGCTTTAATGACAAAAATAAAAAAATCTAAACAATAACACTATGAGAGCAGTTTATCAGCCTGTTCGAAATTTTCTTTAGGCCACAGTACTTATATAATTTCTTAATAGTAAAACACAGATTAAATATACATCTGACAAGATAAAATTAAGCTAAATAATATAAATAAGCCTTATCTAATTCAGTATAAGTCATGGTATTAAAAAGAAATAGGTTAAAAGATAATTATAAAAATCACAAGCGATGAGACAATAATGATTAATCATATAATATATGTAATATACTTAGTTATTGATACTAAATTCATAAAAATTCTTTATTCTATATTAATGATTGTGGAATGTCGATCATTTAAGAACAAGAAATAATTAAGTACTGATATCATGATTTATTTTTCTTAACACTAGTCTTAACATATATGATATAGGATGAACATTATATATTAAAAAAATCATATAGAAAAAACTTTAATTAGCCTCATTGCAACCATTCCACTATATTGTATGAGAATTAATATTTATATGGGTATAAAATATTTTCAGAGACCTTATAATAAATTGCATCAAGATCCATTTATTTAAAGTATATTTAAATGATTTTTGTTAGGCAAATTAAATATACACTATAAATTCTATCATTCTTCGAAGGTAACAAAAATAAATACAACTAAACATATTTTTCTGAAGAACAAACATAAGATTATATTTATGAGTAAGTATTTTAAACTAAATATTTAATTAAACATAATATTTTTAATTCTATGTAAGGAATTTTCACTTTGAAAATATATGCAATATTTGACAAGAATAGAACTTACACTGAATTTTAACTATAAAACTGGAAAATTTTATGTTAATGCTTATTAAAAAATTGTTTTGCTGTACTAAAGAAATATAAATACATTTATATATATTATTTTATATAACAATAAGATTATTCCTTATACAATGTTTAGTGTTCATTAAAATTACGCCATCAATAGATATATTTCTTTTATTGAGTTAAAATTTCTCCATTTTTCCACACACACTAAGTTACAAGATATTATTTGTTAGATTTACATGATCAGAGTAAGAAATGGATCAGTCTTATACATTTATTGTGTTTTTTATTATTATCCAAATGTATTAAGTTTTTATTTTTAAGACAGACAGACACCATAGTTAAGTATATACAAATGTGTATAGGATATATTGTTAAACAGATTTCTGAACACAAAACTATGAGGTATTTGATTCTTCTTTTTTTTAAATGAAAAGTATGCATAATTGTTTTCTAGATTTGATAAAGAAAATATTTGATTATATTTCATCCCTGTGTCTTTCCTATATGAAAAGATAAACTAAGACTCTTTCAATACATCCATCAAATGATTAATAAATGACAAAGCACGGTATATTATTCTATATATATGGCAAAAGATTTCAAAACCATTATAACTTGACCTCACTTATCTTGAGAATAATACTGCTGAGCAAGATCATTCAGTTCTCGACGTAATTGTTGGGCCTGAGCCCTTAACGCTTGCTCTCTGGTTCGAATTACTCTGTACTGTTCCTCCTTTTCCTCTGTACGCTGTTTCACCAACCAGCGTAAATAGAGCTCTGCAAAAAGTAGGTATTGTGAGATATTTTACATACATACAAAAAAATCAAAACATTGACTAGATTTGCAAAAGTATGTTTCCTTAATTAATAATACTATTAGATAGAAATAACGATGTGTGGAAGACAGGACTCGTTTTAAATTTATTTACTTTCATACATGTCCAAAATCAAGCAAATATATACTATAAACATATATATGTATGTACTTATGTATAGGTAGCGTTGCCAGGCGTCCGGATAAGGCCGGACATAGTTAGGCTTTTTGATTGCATGTCCGGCCAAAATAAACGGTGTCCGTCTTGTCCGGCTTTGTAAGGCTTTTTACATTTCGTAAACAAGCTGGCCGAACGGCCGAGCGCTATTTCAAGAAACTATTAGCACATAAGAAATGCGTAGCCTATTTTGAATCGATGATAAGATTGCTTCAGAATTCCTAACTATTTGTCAGTATTACTTTGCTATACCAGGACAGAACGCAAACGTTGAAAGAGATTTTTCCTTGACAAGTCAGCAATGGACGAAAGAACGCAACAGATTACATTGCTTACATGTTGATACTGTTGCCAAAATATTGGTTGTAGAATTTAATTTAAAACATTTGACATGTAAGGATTTTTACAACCACATTTTGAAAGAAACTGAGCTCTTAAAGCAGGTTTCGACAAACCAAAAATAATATTAATAATTTTTATCGTGTAATTCAAAGAGAAAAAGTTTTTGTATGCTTTATATTTAAACTTAAAGAGAATTTATTGATTTTTTTAGTTAAAAAAGTATAATTTGTGCCTTTATTATTATTTAAGAAAAATATATCAATGATAAATGTTTAAATTCAACAATTCACCTCACTTCGGTCAATGCTTAACATTGTATTCGTAAACATCCAAGTTAAAAAATTATAAACATATTATAAATCTAAACATAACAAGTAAATAACGTTATAGTGTTATTACTTAAATAACTAGTGATCAATGTACTTAATTGTGTGAGTGAATTATTGAAGATTTAATGAATATACAATGAAAAAGTTCTACATAAACAATTCTTACCAGCTTAGAAAAAAGTGTTCGTCATATGACACATACATAATTAAAAGTGCAAGCGATTATCGCGGTTGAGTACTAAACGGTTGAATTATTTCCGAGTGTAACTTCGACGCCGGGCATCACACAACTACGAAAAAAAATTTGCGTACCTATTAAAACTAAGACAAAATCCTCAATAATATAGGGTGTCCGGCTTTTTTAACCAAAATTCCGGCCAAACTGGCTGGTCTGTCCGGCTATTAGGTTTGGCGACCTGGCAACGCTATGTATAGGTATATTGAGTTATAGTCCGTTAGACTTAAGCTAAGCTTTGCATTTGTGTGAGTGAAAGTAAAAGTAGATTTAGACAAAAAACTTTAGAATTCAATTCTATTATATTTTAAACAAATACCTAACATAAGTGCTAGAGCTATTCCAGATTAAAAATAAAATAAGCAAAACTTGTAAAAGGCCAAATGGAAATATTATGGTAAAAAATTTATTAAGTAAAGTTTGACATCACACCTACACTATCTGTGTGCACTCACACAAATGCAAAGCTCAGCTTAAATTAATCGCACTATAACAGTCTATGTTACTCACCTTCCCATATAACATAGCTCATGGGCGCCACAGACGGCCAGATGACGTCATGCGTGGGGTCATACAAGGGGTTGATATAAACAGCTAACTCTTCAGGCTGATTCATCCACGACCATAAACTGGTCGTTTGATCATAAACGCCTAGGGTGGATCGCTCTCGGTCACTGTCACATAGGAACGTACCTATAAGATTAGGGAAAAAATATGAGTAAGTAATATATCACATATATATAGACCATATCCTACTAATATTATAATTGCGAAAGTTTGTGTGTATGTTTGTTACTTCTTCACGCTCAAACGGCTGAAGCGATTTTGATAAAATTTTATATACAGGAAGCTGACGTCCAGGAATAACACATAGGCTACTTTACATCCCGGAAATCCGCGGGTAACACCGCGGGGTGTAGCTAGTTATTGTATAAACCCACCAAACTGACTGGCATAGGCGTGCTCGAATAGCGTTATAAGGAAGCACTGTCGGTACTCGAAGCTGCATGGAAACTGCTCCAGGAACTGCCTCACGCAGTCCAGGAAGAGGGTGAAGGTGGGTGCGGCGCGGGGCCGGGAGGAATACGGACCGGAAGTGACGCGGCTCTGGAAGGGATGACCGCCTTGCAGCCATTCACGGTCGATTAAAGCCTGCAGTCTGGAAAATTAAATGGTATTAATTAATTTAAACATTGTTGTATATGACTGCTTTTTGGCCCGCTATTTCCTAAGCGTTGTCTCCCGTCTTGTACTCAAATAAATGAATAATATGTACTTAATGTATTAGATGTGTTAGCGAAACTTCAGCCACATCTATTGTCCCTGTCTGACTTCACACTACGTACAAAATACAAATGTTGTGCTTACGTGAATTACAAAATGCGTTATTTAAAATATAGCCTATATGTTAATATGTTATCTAATTTATATTGTTTGAACGTTAAGTACATTATATGTGAAAGTTAAGTACATTACAAACATCCATATATACTCAGAAACTTTTACTAAAAGTATTTGCATTAAAAATGTTTTTACTTTATGGCAATAAATTCTAATATAAACAGCAAAAAATAATGAATATCGATGCTTACCCTCTGATAGTCCGACTGTCTGGATTGAGGATGATTTGTACTAAGGAACATACAAGTAAGGTAGCATCTTCACCTTTAGTACCATGCACCAAAACTGGCTCAGATCTCTGAATAATATGAAAAAGTATTACCAACAATATAATACATACATTTAGTGTTAATTTAGGCAAATTTATATAGAATTTGTTTTTTATTTATTACAATAATATTTATATAATCAAAGGAAATGACAAGCGAGTGGAGTGATGGAATAATAATTATAGTACATATCGTCGGGGATAATGCAAATCCGCGTAACTACCATTCTATATTTCCGCGTATTAATGTAAGCAAATTATCAAAAGAAACTTTAAACTAAAATATTTTCTATATTAACGACTTTTAAGGTAATTTTACACACTAAGTAATCACTAATAGTGAAAAAGCTACCTTAAATGTCGTTATTTTAGTAAATATTTCAGCTTTGCACTATCCCCGACGATAAGTACTCTTATATGTATAAATACAGTAATACCCCGCTTAACGCGAGGGATACGATCCGAAGAAAATCGCGTTAACTGAAATTCGCGTATATCGAGGTTTATGATTAAACACAGTCAAAATTTAATACACAAATATAAAAATCATTTCAATCAAACACTTTAATTCTAAGAACACTATACAATACATAGGTACTCCTATTTTTTACGAAAAAATACATGTATTGTCTTTTGGGTAGCGTTTTGTTTACGTTCTTGTAAAATAAGTTCATAACACCCAACACTGTTTTTAATCGTTTGACATACGGTCAAGGCGCGGTCATCATTATTATCTATACTCTGTAATATGTCCAAATCTGAATAAATTTTTGAAATTCGTGTTATACTGAAACCGTGCACAACGGGGTCGCGTTAAGCGGGGTATTACTGTTATTATAAGTAACACACTAAAAGTAAATATATTTATATCATCTACCTGGTGAATATGTTGTGCAATGATACATGCTGTGTGTAGAGAGTTTCTGACTGACTCCGGCCACCCACAAGATTCTAGACGAGACAGCCACTTGTCGCATGATATCTCACGATCTATGCAAGCTGTAAAAGAGGTTTGTATTAATTATTTCAATATTAACTTTTAACAAGACAGATTACTACTATACTATACTACTATTATATAAAAACTTCAATGTTAAGTTAAATATTCTGAAAGATACAAGTTCTATCATGCTTGTGTTCATGGAAGCAATATTAACTCTTTAGTGTTAAAATATAATTAAATTAATCCCTACTATTATTATAAATGCGAAAGTAACTTGTCTGTCTGTTAAGCTTTCACGCATAAACCACTGAACTGATTTTAATGAAATTTGGTACAGAGATAGAGTTAAGAAAGAACATAGGATAGTTTTTATCTCAGACTTTTGAAATGTTGTCTTGGAAACGCGATATATAACCGAACTCCACGCGGGCGAAGCTGCGGAGGAAGGCTAGTTTCATATAATATAGTTTAACATTTTAAATACATGTTTTGTGATTGAAGATATAAAACATTATATGGTTATCTATGGCTATCATTATATGGTTATTAATCTATGGTTTTATTAAAGACATGAAATACAAAAGACATGGCTTATGGGCTTTGTTCTCTTTACCTGTTCTGAACAGAACAAATTTATCAAAAAAAATATCTATAGTATTATGTTGTGTTCCTGCATACTTTCAATCAGTTTTGAGAAGCTCTCCAGCAGCGGTTGTTGATTGTCAACTTCATCCATTGGTCTGTTATATATTTTCCATTGAGAATAGTTTGATGGACTCTCACTGCCTCCACCTGTACACAAACAAAAAATTACTTTGAAAATTCTAAATCAAAATTAAAATATGCATAATAAAAAAAATATTTGAAATATGGGTTTCTTAAAGTTTTTACATGTAGTATTCAATGAAATTAATAATTATATTAAATTTGTCAAGTATATATTGTGCTAAGTAGCAAACAAAAACTAATACATATAATAAAGTAATCTATAGTGCGTTTGGTTTAAGTTGAGCTTTGCATTTGTGTGAGTGCACACGGATAGTGTAGGTGTGATGTCCAATTTTTGAATGCCACATTCTTTTCTAATTTTTAACCGGTTTATTCTGCTTTAACTTTGTACTGGTAGCAACTTCAAATGTTGAAAACGGAATGTAAAGTGAAGAAAAATTTGTATTGTTTTTTCAAAATATTTATTACTTATTTTTTTCCATAATATTTCCATTTAGCCTTTTATATGTTTTGCTTATTTTATTTTTAATCTAGAATAACTCTCGCACTGACGTTATGTAGTCCAGGATTTCTTGATAGTTTTAGCTAAATTAGCTAGCAGAGATAAAATATGTTGATTTGATAATTTTCCAAAATATATTACTAACTGGATTTATTTATGTTAAATCTTATGATAAATATCTAAATTATTCGAAAAAAATTTTGTCCTACAAAATGTATGGTTTGATCAATCCTTCCCTTATGGTTTGATCCCCCTCCTTTCAACATGTATCGACAACGAGGTCATCGCAAGTGATTACTAACCAGCTGATTTTTTTTTATTTACTTAGTTAATATTTATAAAATTTAACAGTAACATTGTCCTACAAGTTGCTTGGTACGTTATCCTCGCCCTACGCTTAAAAGTGGTCGATGCCACAGGACCATTTTTCTCATTACTAACTATAGGACAAAATGTCACATGATAGATTAGTGTGATCTCTGCCCAAATGAAGCAATGTCCTACAAAAAAACAGGTATGTATCACCTATCCGACAGTAATTGTGATTTTTTCGTTTTTTTACTTGTAACATAGGATATAAAGAAAATATTCTTTTTTTTATTAAAATAACTTGATATTTTAGTGGGATGAGTACAAATTTAAAAAAAAAAAAAACAAAAATTAATCTTCATTAGATTCATCTGATGAATCTTCGCTGCTTTACATCGCTGTTATCTTTATTTATTTCCTTGTCCTCATTTGTGATATCTGACTATCTGATTTATATATTAGAAAAGTATATAATAATACGTGATAAATCAATAATTAACAATAGTATCAACAGGGCACCTAGTATGTCAGAAGATAATTCGTCAAAAGATGGACTTTGGGGGCCATCAAACCAATAAAATTCATAATTTCCATCAATAATAATTGTTCATCCAAAATTTTCTGGCAATTTTTCTGTGGGGCACCGCATGTGTGCTTTACACCATATATTGCAGATGAATACAGTTCTTTTAATTTTTTGCAACAATTCTCGTTTTGGTGGTTGCAAACTAGAAGAATCATATCCTACGATGTTTGTTTTAAAATTTCTTCATTTAATTTTTTTGATTTATACCCTTTTTCAAATAACTCATACCGCCCTTTGTTGATATCATTTTTTTGTTTTTAAAGAATACATTCTACATACATACTCTTCAATAATTTGAATTAAGTCATTCGATGTTGTTAGTGCCGTATTTTCCATTGGTAAGAGTTGAATAAAGGCCTCTTAAAATATTATATTTTTTTAGAATACTAAAAGGTCTATTTTTTCTTTCACGAGAGAATGCAGGATTACAATCATTCCCTGTAAAAATATGGCATATGGCGAGTGAAAAAGACAATTGATATCCAAGCTTGGCATAAATATCGTTGATGTTTAAGTACATTTTTTCTTACTCGTGCTTAAATTGATAATGATTTAAATTTCATCTTTTAAATACTTAACATTTGGTAATTTATTAATTTATCTAGCTAGTAAGTAATCATTCGTGATGACCTCGTTATGTACACATGTTGAAAGGAGGGGGACTGTTTGATCAAACCATTCATTTTGTAGGATTTTTTTTTTTCGAATAATTGAGATAATTATCATAAGATTTAACATAAAAAAATCCTGTTAGTAATAAATTTTGGAGGATTATAAAATTAACTTATTTAATCCCTGCTACCTCTGTTATCTACCACAATCGAGAATTATCGCACAGGAAAAAGTTGGGCGTCTCATTGAAATGGAGCTACTCACGAAGATTCGGCTTGATAGTAATTATTTTTTTATCAATGATCAGTACTACTACTTTTAAGCGTAGGACCGGGATAACGTACCAAGCAACTTGTACATAGGACAATGTTACTGTTAAATTATATAAATATTAACTAAGTAAATAAAAAAAATCAGCTGGTTAGTAATCACTTGCGATGACCTCGTTATCGATACATGTTGAAAAGAGGGGTATTCATTGATCAAACCATACATTTTGTAGAACAAATTTTTTTTTGAATAATTTAGATATTTATCATAAGATTTAACATAAATAAATCCAGTTAGTAATAAATTTTGGAAAATTATAAATCAACATATTTTATCTCTGCTAGCTAAGTTAGCTACCACTATCAAGAAATATAGCAAAGAAAAAAGTTGGGTGTCTCAATGAAACGAAGCTACTCACGGAAAATTAGCTTGTTAGTAATCAAGTGCAAAAAACAGCCATGGATCCTGGACTAATATATCTATTTAAATAAAATAAAATTTAATTCTAAAAGTTTTTTGTCTAACTCTACTTTTACTTTCACTCACACAAATGCAAAGCTCAGCTTAAGACTAACGGACTATACCTACATTACACTTGACATCATAGTATTATTTAATAATACCGAGCATATAAAACTAATACATAATATTATATAAATCAAATTCTAGGCTACTGTTCAATAATAATATAAGGAATCACCCTCTTGTCCCATCACAAAAAAATTACTGAATAATTGAAAATTTAAGAGGTGTTAATTTTACAAGATAATTTATACCTTTATTTTGCTGTTGCGAGATCATATTGGAGCTTCTGAGATCATATATGACACCCTTCATACCAACATTAACTATTGAATTTAAAATCTGCTCGTCGGGACGACACCTACGATGTTTTGGACCATATAGAGGTTGACCAGCTCGAAGTAAAACAGCCTGGAAGTCATAGAAATAGCATTTTAATTTGTTTATGCAGACTGAGAGAGAGTAATTTATGACTTATACATATAATTTTAATTTTTTCATTCACACTGAAAAGCTTGTATTGTTTCATTAGTTTTGTAAATTTTGGGAATTATACTGGGTAATAGTAATTTTATAACATCAAAATATTGGATTGTCGAACTTAAACAAATTTTTAAATTGCTATATTTGTTACATAATTACAAGTACCAGCAATAAATCAAAACTGTTAATGACTACATGACAGAGATTCTATCTTATGTCATGAAAAAAAAAATGGCTTGTACTAATTTTTTATATTTGAAATATGATTAAAAAAATTAAAAAATAATCATATTTTCATAAAACTAAGAGTTAATAGTTCTCCTATAGATTATAAGGGTACACCTTAAAATTTCATATAGTTTTGAAAGTTCATATAGTAAATATTTCAATCATATCAATAATCTTACACCATTGTTATGTCTGTACGAGAGCACAGGGAAGCGTCCTCCCTGTCTGAATGTGGCGGCCGCAGCCAATGTCTCATCGTCTATACACTTTGGTACAACCACAGCTTTTGGATAACTTTGACAGACTGTGTAGTTTTGATTCACTCTAGATATACGCCATTCCTCTGTGGCTATCACTTTTGTGAATTCTCCTTCAATACTGAAAATATTATTGAAAAACTATTATGATAGTTTAGTAAGTCAAAATAATAGTGTAACTATTTACTTGTAGACTATTTTTCATATATTATATTATAGATAAGCTACCTGTATAGAGTATAACCATTTTCCATTATGGGATGCATATGCCTGTAAAAGAAGGGGTAGAAAAGTGTAGGGTCCTGTATACTTGACAAATTCTCCAATGTCTGAGCTAGCAAGGATAACTCTGTGGTGTTATTGATATCCAGTTGGAATATTCTCAGATCTTTACATTTTAAATACAGAAAACCACCTTGCACGACTCCACCACTCAATTTGTTCTCCTTTTTTTCGATACTGTTTATGTTTCTGTGCAAGAGCTGGAATGTTGTTTAAAAATAAGAAGTTCAAATATATCATTTGGATGTATTTTAATAATATAAATGTATTATTTATTACCCATAGTTCGCGAACACCTTCTTTTCTTGAACTTAATATGAGGTGGTGACCAGTTATACACACTGTCCCATCTACGTTATCATGATGAGGATATCGTAATATCACTCCGTCTAACTTATTTATAAGGATAAGCTCTATAAATTCCATTAGACCGATTTAATATATATATATTTTTACAATATTATTACATTATTATTTGTTAATTTTAATAACTAGATCGCGCTGCGCGCACAATTTGGTTTACTTTGACAGTTAACATTTCTTGTGACACTTAAAATATGTATTAAAAAATTGAAACTTAGTTTTTAACGCAAGTTAGATAATTGATTATTATTAAAAATAAGTCCCTAAGTATTTTTATACAGATCCAACTATTAAAAGATGTCGTTATTATTTCCAATATTTAATGTAAACATTTATGGCGATACATTTTTAATACTTGCAATGTTAAAAAACAAAACAGTCATAGTTATTTTATATCTTCGAATCTTGAGATAACGCGATACATATTAGTAGTGAAGAAAAGAGATGCATATTTTTTTATGCGATTGACTTTAAAACAAAGGTATCCTGTGTCAGGCTCCATCTATTCATAAGTTGTAGCATTACACATAAAATAACATACGTATGAGTGAAATAGGTAGCGAATACGATGAAATATAGTATAAACTATAAACGACAGTTTGAGCTATGGCAATGTGTGGATTCTTGCGTTCGTTGTAATATTTTTGGCTTAATTTGATAAATTGGTGTCATTGATGGATAAAACGAGTTTTATTATAAGATAAAAACAACGAATATCTATAGGATACAAACTTTAAATATACATTAAAGGGAAATAACTAGTGGTGAGTGACTACAGATTTGTGTGATTGTAACTATTGAAAGTAGGTAGGTAACTTGGCTGGCTGGATGGCTGAGCTTGGGTAATGACCGGTTCCAATATTAAGAATCAGTTAAATACCATTAGAACTAATTTTCATGCCGCTTATTTTGTTTTAATTTATGATTTTACTCATCAACTCTTTGTTTAGGACATGGAGGAGAATTCTGAAATTCATATGGAAACAGATGTTTCTTTAAAAACTGAAGCTCAAGAAGTGATGGAAACTCATGGCGACATACGAACAGTCATAATTGTGCAGAATACATCTGAGGAAGAACTGTTTGGACCTTTAGACACTAATACTATAGGCTCTAAACCTGCAACTGAAATGAATAGCAGTGATAATGGTTCAGAAGATGCACAGACTAAAATGGTACCTCAACTGCTAACTACTACCAAGGATGTAAAGAATGATGAAGAACAATCCCTGCACAGACATGCTAAGGAGCATAAAACATACAATAACAAGCATAAGGCATCTAGGATTGAACAGCTACAGTCGTCATTAAAGACTGATGATTTGCAATCAACACTGAATGATAAGTCATCAACTGATAAGCGAAATATAAATAGCAATGAGAAGTCTTCAACAAAGAATAGCCAAATACAGATCCCTCAGGAAACCTCCAAGACAATACCTGAACCTGATGATTCAAAGAAGGATTGCGATGATGATAATCACTCCTTAAATACTGAAGAGTTACAGGTTATGAAGACATCTTCATTAAAAACAATTGACTCAAATAACACAGATAAAGAAAAACCTGTTTTAAAGATTGATCAATCACCCAAAACTTACATATCCAGACATAATACTCAAAGTAAGTGTGATCAGAAACAGAATATTACATGCACCGTCTCCAGCAGTATTACTGATGAAGCTGTGTCCGATGATTTGATAAATCCTGCTTTGAACGATAAAAGCATTGATGGATCTTTGGCTACTCCAGTACAGATTACATCACAGAATTCACCTGAGGCAGCTTTAAGTGAACCTGATGATAAAACTATTAACTCTAACACCGATCATGAAGAAGACTGCGTAAAACAAAATGATGCATCAATTGAATCAAGTGAAAATGACAATGATTCACAAATGGGAAGTAACTCAGATGACAAAGATCAAAATAAAAATATTAGCAGAGAGCTAAAGTCTCTAATAAAATCGGCCAAAGAATCCAAAATAATCAGTGAATGCAATCAAGTTACAAGCAAAACAAGAAAATCGAGATCCACTCTGGATGCTAGCTTGAATACATCAGTAGAATCTTGTAAAATTCAAGATACACGAAGAAGCAGTATTAATTCACAGAAAAGCAATTGCAGTGAAAAATCAGAGAAGGCTCCAAAAAGGTCGATGAGGTCTCAGAATCCTGAATTTGTGAATAAGGTGAAACAATTTCTTAATTCTGTCACCGGAAAGTGTCATAAGAATGATTCGGATGAAGAAATCGATGCCACAAAGGAGACACATTATGAAACAGTATACTCATCATCTAAAAAGAAAAAACAGTCTGAAAATATGGAAGTAGATGTAAGTAATACTAAACATGTTAAATAGGATTTAAAAGCAATATATAATACAATAATTTTTATTAACTTTCTACATCTGTATTTTAATTCATAATGATGATCTCTATGCAATAATTTCATGTCCTCGGCAGCCAACGACAAACACCAACAAACTACGCACTGATCCTTACTGTTGGAGGTGCCATTGGGCCGTTGAACCAGTTGAAAATGAAAAGGGTCATCCACCGATGCAATGCACCGTGTGCCCGCGAGCTATACACTACAAATGTCTCAACAGCAATGAAAGGAATAAGATAACCGCTGAGAAGAGTTGGGTCTGTCCTGAATGTATGGTTGTGCTTCACGCTGAGAGCTCAGAAACCAGGTATTTTAGATAGTTATATACTTTAAACAGATATATATTAGCTATAATTGAGTTTAGCAACAATATTAGACAAGTTTTATTATAATTATGAATGTTTTAACATAAATCTAAACATTTTTACAGATCACCAGCTATGAAAAAAGTGTCACTGGGACAACTCTGTGAGCTGCTCCATTATGCTTTGGAAAGACTGAAAAATTTGAATGGGGTAAATATACATGGACATTATAGGTTTATCATACAATTACTGAGTCATTAGTTATATATAGGACATTCTCTGAAACCTGTGCAATATTTATGTATGATATTTATAATATAGCACAATGCGAATGCATCAAATTTAGTTTCTCATGACGCAGGCTGTTTTACAATTGCATACTTCTACATTTCATTCGTGAGAATAAATATTTATAAGAATAAAAGCGTTTAATATATAAATATCTATTTTATTATTCAGATTTATATTATATATTATTAGTGAACAAATATAATTTGATGCTATTAAGACGATTTTACTTTCATATAAAATTATCGATAGCGCCGCCATGTTTTTTAGTTTACACCCACAAAATGGTCGCCGTTTGCCAAGCGAGGTCATTTGACAACCCCGCGCATTTGTTTCATTCATTTGTTTTAAGGAGGTTAAATATTAAATAAAAATTACGCATTAAAAAAAATTATAACAAATGAGGTTAAACGATAAAAATGTAATACATATAACTATACATTTATGTATGCGTAGAATAAATACGAAACGCAAACGCGTTAGACTTTACACTAAGGTGAAAATGACCTTGCTAGCTATCTGCTGGCGGGACAGCATCTATCTCTCTCTGACATGTTGGAATCTTGTATATCCGTCTCGCTCTGTACTAATAATAAACATTCTCCGTTCATCAGAATTCTCGTTCTGTTATTCTCAATACTCTGCATTTGTAATTATAATTTTTTCGTAATGGAGATATGGTATTCATATTTAATAATGCAATTAAATATTCTTTTCATGCATTCACCGTTACTTACTAAGTAGAAGGAGTTAAAGGTGCATTTGTACTTTATGGCGATAATAAACATATTATTGTTTATTTGATATTATTTCATAACTAGCTTTCCGCCCGCAGCTTCGCCCGCGTGGAGTTTTGTTATATCGCGTTTCCAAGAAAACCTTTCAAAAGTCTGGGATACTATCCTGTTCTTTCTCAAGGTCAACTCTGTCTCTGTACTAAATTTCATTAAAATCAGTTCAGTGGTGTAGGCGTGAAAGCGTAACAGACAGAAAGACAGAGTTACTTTCGCATTTATAATATTAGTAGGGATGAATCACCAAATATCACCAAAGTATGATATTGCCAACATTAATATTATTACTTTGTTATTTTTTCTATTACCGATCATGTATAAAGTATATTATATATTGCTGACGTAATTTTCAGGTGGAACCATTTCTTCAGCCCGTAGATCGTACCGTATTCCCAGATTACGACAACTACATAGTACATCCTATGGATTTGTCGCTGATGAAGGATAATATAACCGAAGGTCTCTACGGCAGCACGGAAGCGTTCCTAGCTGACACGCAATGGATATTACACAATAGTATTATATTCAATACAAGTAAGTTATTATTTAAAAACTATTATTAAATTATCGGAATGCGTTTGGTGTGTAGAAAAGTTGGTTTTTCTTTTATTACTTTTTTTTTTATATGCGTCGCTTTCTCCTTATTTTGAATGTTTTAATATTTGCTGCTTCAGTGTTGAATTTTTTTTTTTATGAAATGATTGACACTACAAATGAACTTTTTAAGTCATTTAACTCTATAAATATATTTACATCAATTTAAAAACTAAAGGAACATGCAGTGAATACTTACCTTTAAAAAATATATATTTTCTCACTTTGAAATTAGATTATTTGTAACACTATTTAGGCTACATATTTACTACACATAAAAATAGAAAACTAAAACACTTAAATTTAACAAGGAGAAACAGACAAAATATACAGGAAATAAATATCAAACCAAACAAACACACCAACTAACACACTAACATTATGTCAACCGAGATCATAGCAGATAATCTAATTTGATGGCTCAGTGTTTCCTACAGTGCAATCGAAGCTCACTGGTGGTGCAAGGGCCCTAGTTCGCTCATGCAAAGCCGAGATGGGTGAGATTGAAGCCTGTCCTGAGTGCTATGCAGCGGCACATGCAAGGAAACCAACCTGGTTCACCGATGTCTGCTCCACACCACATGTCCTGCTGTGGGCTAAACTTAAAGGTTTATCTTGTACTAGTTTATATAGAAAATAATATATACTAAAAATAGTACTTACTTTAAGCACTTGTGACTTGGCAGTGATTGTATGGGTGGTGTTTGAAAAGTTTCAGATTTTGTTCAGTTATAAATATATTTAGCTCATGTGATGATAGTATAGTATGGTTAAAAATATATATAAACATAAAACTAAATCATTTTTATGTTACATAATTTCATATGAATAAATATATTTAAAGAATAGTCACAATAATGTATATATTTTTTACTAGCGTTCCGCCCGCTGCTTCGCCCGCGTGGAGTTCAGTTATATCCCGTTTCCAAGAGAATCTTTCAAAAGTCTGGGATAATAATTATCCTATGTGCTTTCTCAAGGTCAATTCTATCTCTGTACCAAATTTCATTCAAGTCAGTTCAGTGGTTTAGGCGTGAAAGCGTAACAGACAGCGAGAGTTACTTTCGCATTTATAATATTAGTAGGGATTATAGATATATATCTACATAAAGACGAAAATGTTTGTGTACATTATAAATTGTATATTTTAACATATATAATAAATGTTTCCAGGGTTCCCCTACTGGCCAGCCAAAGGTATGACGGTCAGCAATACCGGCATGGTCGATGTAAGGTTCTTCGGAGCCCACGATCGTGCTTGGGTTCCAGCTAGAGACTGCTTCCTGTTCTGTGAAAAAGATCCCAATAATTTCAGATCAAAACGTCAGGATATATTGGATAGTATGCAGGTAATGTATCAAAAAAGAGGTTTCATTTAGACATTACATGTGGACTGACTATAAAAAGTTTGTTTTTAATATATTTATCGTTAAAAATATACTAAAAATATCGCCATTTTTAAGCCTAATCATACAAATATTTGCATATTGTTAAGTCCATATATAAATATTAGAACAGAGCCTGAAAATTCTTAGAATAATCTCCTAAAGTTACTTTATAATGTATTTTCATTATATTCTAGGAAGCAGAGCAACATATACGCAATATATCTCGAAAGTACGGCCAGTATGTTTATCCACCGTTCAAGACGCCGTTTGATCCAACAAAATTAACTGAACAGTTAAAGATGATGGTATGTAAATTAATTACTTATATATTACGATAAATATATGAAATAATGGCGAACTTAATTATCAATTGGTATTTTTCAGATACCAACATTTGACGGTGAGATCGGTGTACCTGTTAGTAAACAGACGAATTCCCCGACAGTCCCTAAAGGGAAAAGCAGGTCGAACTCTAAAAGCTCCAAGAGTTCTTGCAATGATGGGTGAGGATTTTATATTAATAATACAAAAATCCATATTATATATTGCCTTACATGATAATTTTGTATTTTTAAAATATCATCAATAACAAAGTAGTGCTAATTTTGACCTAGAAAGAATATCTAATTTACCCTCATTAATAATTATTAAAACTATTTTCTAGTGCAAAACAGTATTTAAAATTCTAGCTTACTTAATATCTGTTTCCAGTGATGTGAGTGAGTGTGAAGATGTCCAGGAATCCAGAAAAATGTCTGATGGTGCTGAGATCGCTCGCGATGAAGAGTTTACACCTGACAAGTTAGTTTACACATTATATATTAAACATTTGATTATTATGCGTTTTTAATAAGGAATTTATTGATATAGTTTGCTTGGTACATAATAAAAATGTTTGTTATTACAGAAATAAAACGTCCGAAATAAATGATAGTGAAAAGGAAACGACACGCAAGCGTCGACGTTCAGAGCTCGAAGAAGCAGTCATAACAATCATGGACAATTCAAGTGACAAACGGAGGAAAATTGACAACGATAAATTTGTTGTGAAGAAGGAAATAGCTAAAGAAAATGAAACCAACAAAGATAATGAAGTTAATACAGAAGAAAACAAAGAAGCAAACGAGAAAACTCAAGAAGTAACGGCTGCTAGCGATAAAGTAGTCACTAGAAGTAGTATGGAGGTAGATGTTACTCCAAACTCAACACCAGTCAAGACAACTCCTAAAGTGAAACCGATAAGAATAACTCTATCCAGAGATAACGATAAAGCTATAGCGATACCAAAGATCGTGAGAACGGACAAAGAAACGGAGACAGACAAACCGAACGACAAAAATAAATCACAGAAAAGGAGGAACTCTAAACACAAACAAAACAACAGCCAGAACGGCAAGACGGATAAGGAAAAGAAAGCTGAAAAAGATAACGTAGTCAAGATTATTATAAAAGATAAAAACAAAGATACATCTAAGACCAAAGTGTCGGACGATAAATGTGAGAAATCAAACAAAACGGGGCCAGATGTTAATAAATCTAAGGAGCAAAGCGATGACGATGCCACACTAGCCGTCATAGCTCGCGAAGTAACAAATGCGAACGTTTCCGGACTACCCACTATAAGTAGTGTTCGTAGTTTATCAACTACCGCACAAAACTTGGACACTACCACAGTAACTACGACATCTTCGCGAACTACTGAAGTCACTATCACGGTGAGTGCCAATTCAAGCATATTTACACCCACCAGTACAGACAATGTTCGCAATATGAAGGAGGCGGTGAATAAATTACAGAAATTGAGAAGCGATGAATCACCCCTGGTGGGAAGAGTGGGGGTACGAGCGTTCGCCCGGATGACGTCACCGGAACCACGGACCAGCAAATTGGAAAGCATGCTGGTCGAAGTTAAATCGGAACCGACCGACTTAGAAGATACGGAGAGGCAGGTCGAGAAGGTGGATATGATGAAGCAGTTCCACCTACGACCGGTGAACCAACCCAACGCTAACTTGAGGGAAGTACGTATGAACAAAGTCGTGGTAGCGCCACTAACAAGAAAGCCCGTGGCAAAACAACCGGATGCGAAGATTAAGGCGAAGAAAACATTCCCACAGCCGAGGAAGGTAGATGACGGTAGATCGGAACTGAATAGTAAAAACTCCATGGTATACATTCCCATACAACCGCCGAGTACGCAAGCACCCGTACGACCTACAAGACCGATCACTATAATTAATGGTACAGCGAACACGCAGACTGTTAGACCTCAAGGAACCACCACAAGTACAGGTTAGTACAGTACTATATGTTACTCTAGTGATTTACTCATAATAACCCTATAAGTTAGAGGCGATATTTTCACCACCATGATTTTATTTTGTTTTAAACCGAAATTTCGTCCACGGCCGTATTTTTTTATTCAGGAAAATTTTATGATTGTCAATTAACAGTTTGATAATGAAAGGTTAGACAAATATATATTCATATGTTTTTACTTCTTTTATATACCCTTAACCATCATCAATTTTGTTTTTCCAAAGTCCACTCCTTATGACCGTTAAAGAGATACATCATAGCTTAATTTTCTAATAGTTTGTTTGATAGTACATTGTACCAAAGAATAATGAAATACTGTAAACTGACTTTAATATGATTATAATTTTTTCAGCTACCAACATAGTGAATACAATGAGTACCCCGCTTGTACAGATGCCATTAAATCCATGCGTGCAATCAACCACTGTCGCTACTACCAATACAACTTGTTTAACCACTGTTACCCAAGCTCAAACATCTGGCTCGAATACTGGGTCAACTAATTTCGTGTCCAATGGAAGCCAATCTTCCAATATTATGCCAACCACTACCGCTAGTCCGGTGTCTACGACCGCCCAAATGCCAACAGTTGGCCAATTGAATGCCATCGGTCAAGTGCCAACGAATGTTCACACGGTGCCATTGATAACATCCGTCAATGGCCAGTGGACGTTCAGCTTACAACCTATCATGTCTGTTGGTGGTCTAGACGTGAGTATTCTTTAATATATTACCCAATTATTATGTAATAAATTTTGACTGGAAGAGAAGAACATGTTGTGCCGACCGTACATAAAGTGGGATTAGGGCAGGAAAATTATGTAATATTTTTTTTGTCTATTATATTGTGCTATTGCTCAGTAATCCAACTTTTTCGATCTTTTATCCTCTGCTATTGCAAAGATAATAATCAACAAAGAACTCTAAAATAAAATAACCATAAATTATTTATAATTAAAATAAATTTACCAATTTCATATATATCGTACCTTCTTCTACCTAGCAATTTCCCAGTTTTAGCTAGGGTCTGCATTACATGTTGTGAATAGTTTTGGCCAATTGCTTTTACGACCGGCCGCCTGCCTGACATCAACCCTCTTTGGGAATGCATTAATCAGTGATGTCTAAATACCTTTAGAAAGTACATATGACTCGGAAAAATCACATTGGTACTTGCCTGGGCCAGGATCAAACCTGCGCCTTCGTGCATAAGAGGCGGGCCTTTTAACCACTAGGCCACCACTGATTTATCGTAAATATCGTACCTATTTACATTTATATGTATAATGACTTGAATACTCTTTTTCCAGGAGACATCACCTTTAATAAACGGTCTCCCAGACCGCAGCCCGTCCTTAGCGCCGCTACCTTCGTTGCCTGGTGTACAGACGATACAAATGCCGTTAAACACAATATGTAACAACCCTGAAACTCCGGGCGAGGTATTTAAAATTATATTATGGATACAGTAATACGCGGTATACGCGGTTTCACTATAACGTGAATTTCAAAAATTTATTCAGATTTGGACATATACACAGCAGAGTATAGATGATGACCGCGCCTTGACCGTGTGTCAAACAATTAAAAACAGTGTTGGATGCTATGAACTTATTTTACAAATACGTAAACAAAACGCTACCCAAAAGACAATACATGTATTTTTTCGTAAAAAATAGGAGTACCTTTGTATTGTATAGTGTTCTTAGAATTAAAGTGATTGATTAAAATGATTCTTATATTTGTGTATAAATTTTGACTGTGTTTAATCATAAACGTCGATATACGCGAATTTCAGTTAACGCGATTTTTTTCGGAACGTATCCCACGCGTAAAGCGGGGTATTACTGTATTGTCATAGAGAATTCTTTATACTTAATTTTTATTAGTTATACATTATTTTTTTAATTCCTTCATTTGGAGATCTTCAAATATGAAAATCTCGACAAATATATTTTTTAAATGAAATTAATACTACGCGTATTTTATTATTTTAAAAATACATATTCCCGACGTTTCAGTTACTTTTCAACAACCGTGATCACATAAAATATTGTGTAGTTAATTATCTACAATTCTACACTATTAAACATGGCAATATACATAAATTCATATGTGATTTTTATCTCAAACATCAGTTGTAGTTGCTAATTGCGTCTTATAACACATTAGTCTCAATATATTTATTTATTCAATATTAATTTCTCAAAATATCTTCTTCTACCTGGCAATTTCCCAGCTTTAGCCAGGGTCGTACGTGTTTAATTTTAATTAATTTCTCACAATATATGTTGTTATATACTATGTTATGTATAATTTCAGCCACCTCGCCTACAACAGAAGCCCCTCATGAACCCTTTGGACCCGAGTACTCCTATCGGTGCTGTACCAACTCCATCCACCGCTGGACCTCTCACAGCTAAACTAAACCAGAACGCTGTTAAGGTATTATTTGTATATTGTATTATGAAAGTAAATATATTTCATAAGTATGGAAAATGCTTAACTTTCATGCCACTAGGTGTCGAGTTAAAATATAGCTCTTAAATGCAGTAAAAGTCTATTCACTAGATATTATTTTTGGTATTTACAGATATATACTTAAAAAGGGGACTTGTATAAATTATTGTAATTATAATTTATTTAAAATTACATTATTAATACATATGTTGTATCAAGTTGTCTTGAGAATGATTATCTAAATATTACTCTTTAGTCTTACCTTATTTAGTGAACCTTAAACCCTTAAGTAGTGTTAGTTAATTAGTTTAGTGTTATTAAATGGAAACTTGAGCCTAATACTTTTGTTAATTGAAGCAAGCAGAACGCTTTACTGGCTATTCAGGTCATTTATACACGAAGATAGTCTCAGGAACTGAATGTATGATAATGTAAAACACTTTTTGTTTGTTATACTAGTTATTTAAGGTTGTTTTATTAAAAAAATAATTTGATTGGACCACCAATTTCAATTTGTATGACTACAAATACTTTATGATAACCGGAGCAATTTTTTATCCAAGTATATTTGCTAACTAACTTGCCATTAATCTTCCAGCTAACAGATTTCTTCCGAACACTTTTGGAGGACACATTGGATAAAGTTGATGAGCCAGCCGCTCAGGCTACGTTACTAAAGATGCAGATAGAACATTTGCAGTGGAGACACATGCAGGAGATTAGAGAATTAAAACACAACCACGGTAATAAATAGAAAATGTCGGATTTAATACCCTCTTGTAGTTACTAAAGAGTATGACGTCATTACTGACGTCACGAATGCCTTTGATCTGGAATGTCGTCAGGGTTACACACTACTAAGGCTAACCTCGTTAACGGTTTGAAAAATCTCTTATTTCCAAAAAAACTCTTATTTCCCAGAGGTCCGATTCCGTAACGGCTCGAGCGAGACTGTTTTTAATCTGAACCCTCGCTTGTATTTATACAAACTAAGACTCATTGTTGTGACTGCATTTGCAAAGGTTACGCACCTGACACCTCATAATTTTAATCATCCATAATTATGAATTACGTAAATGAAGGTATTCGCTCCTAGAAATATATATATTTATTAAATGAGAATGGATTTCAGTCAATCTGATCTGTTTCTTCAAATATAAACCCTATGGAAAACACTTCATTAAATGCTATATCAGTTTGTTGACAATAACTGTAAATGACAAACAAATTTGACGATTGCTTTCAAATCATTTCAGTCTCACATAAATGACCCGTTGATATGAATAGAGTAGTGCGCTTCTTAAGATATTGCATGACTGACTATATTTCATCATAAACTTATAACAATTTACATCAAGTACATGTTTTTATACAATAAGATATATCATAATTACAGTTTAAGTTTAGCGATAACTTTTATCTAATCTTTTTGGTGCTTATTAGTGTATTTTTAAGTGCTTACATAATATTACATACTGTGACTACATAATATTAAAATACAATGAAAAAAGTTATAAGCGCCGTAGTGCCCTGCATCCCACCGATAACGTTTAATTTCTGCATTAGGATAAAGAGTAGCCTAAGTTACTACTTATCACATCAGGTACTTGCCAGTAAAGTTCTGTCAAAGTCGGTCCCGCGTTTTCAGAGATTAGCCGGAACAAACAGACATCCACAGGCAGATAAAAATTTAAAATCATTTCAATTCGGTGGACATACCATACATGTATTAAAAATGGATATTTCAATATCACAAATTCCAAACTCTCCACATTTTTATACAATGTATAAATAAAATATTATTTTATTACAGAACTGACAGTTTTAGAAATGCGAGCTTCATATGAGAAGGATAAGGCTCGTGCTGTGAGTGAGGCGCGGAGAACAGCTCAGGTTGAGCTGGAAGCAGCTGTTAAAGCTACTAAGGCTAAACAGTGGTTAGTTAACTATATTGATACTTACACTGGCTTTCCGCCCGCAGCTTTGCCCGTGTGGAGTTCAGTTATATCGCGTTTCCAAGAGAACCTTTCAAAAGTTTGGGATAAAAACTATCCTATGTTCTTTCTCAAGGTCAACTCCATCTCTGTACCAAATTTCATTCAGTTCAGTGGTTTAGGCGTGAAAGCGTAACAGACAGACAGACAGAGTTACTTTCGCATTTATAATATTAGTAGGGATAATTATAAATACAACAAGGTTTTATTGTTGTTTGTTACCATAGATAAACTATGGATTAGAATCTTTTTAATATTACATGAACATCTCATCTTTATAAGATTACTAGTTTTTGCACGCGACTTCGTCCGCGTTAATTTCGGATTTGGTAATATATTATGTATTGATAATATATCTGACGGGACAAATTCTATTCCGGCCTAGAGGCCATAAATAACCAGAAGTGGCTTGTTTTGTTATTTATTTTTTCGATAGAACCAAAATAAAATATCCTATGTCCGTCTCCTGGTTCTATGCTATCGTTTTCGACCATGTCCCTACAGCCGTTCTTAAGTTATAAATAGTGTAACTAAAAAAACTTTCTTTTATATATATATATATATATATAATATTTTTTAAATATTTTCGTTGATTACCTGATCATGTCTTATATAGAAAATTGTATTACATTAAAGCACTGTAAAAAGTATGCATTGAATATAATTTATACATATTAATGTAATTTTCAGGTGTGCTAATTGCAGTCAGGAGGCCCAGTTCTACTGTTGTTGGAATACTTCATACTGTGACTATCCTTGTCAGAAAGCTCACTGGAACACTCATTTCTCACAATGCACACAACAGAGGAATGCAGTATGTTTTATATACAATAATTATATATATTAAAGTTATTTGTTACCATAAATAACAAAATTGTCAAGTAATTTTTTTTTTGTTTCAATGGACATGATATACAGGGTGACTGGTGAATTACTATCGATACTTGAGGACGTGATATTTGACGATCATATATGACAAAATAAAAATTAATATAACATAAATATTAATAAACTACTAAGTAAAGTTAACCAAAAGTTATGTAATTAATTACGCATCGTGTGAACACCCTACAGATTAGGTACACACACACACACACACACACACACACACACAAACGCGTGTGGCGGCGTAGTGTTGTATCAGCACGCCGCCGCACGCGTCCACACTTGGAACGTGTCCACGCTTTATGTATTTATACGGAAATTTGGTCAAAAATTAAGTACCTATTTTTTTTACATAATTCGAATGAGAATCATGTACCGAGTATTCTCCTTAAATATTGATAGTAGTTCACCAGTCACCCTGTATATAAGATTGCTTTATTTTTAAGTACTGTAGGGAGTATAAATTGAAAATATACAGGGTGACTGGTGAATTACTATCAATATTTAAGGAGCATACTCGGTACATGATTCTCATTCGAATTATGTAAAAAAATAGGCACTTAATTATTGACAAAATTTCCGTATAAATAAATAAAGTGTTGACACGCTCCAAGTGTTCCAAGTGTGGACGCGTGCGGCGGCGTGCTGATACAACACCACGCCGCACAACGCGTATGTGTGAGTGTGTGTGTATACCTAATCTGTAGGGTGTTCACACGATGCGTAATTAATTACATAACTTTTGGTTAACGTTACTTAGAAGTTTATTAATATTTATGTTATATTAATTTTTATTTTGTCATATATGATCGTCAAATATCACGTCCTCAAATATCGATAGTAATTCACCAGTCACCCTGTATATAGAATATAATAATCAATTGATTTTCTAATACATACTATATTTATACATGTATGTGGTATTTCTATAATATAATATGTATATCTTTATATAAATTCCAGGCTACTAACGGAGATAATTCTAACGCGATAGAAAAAAGACTGCAGTCAGCTCCTGATAGTCTCCCAGTAAGAAACTGTTTTTAGTCCATAAAAGAAAAATATTTAAATTTAAACGATTTTCCCTTTATTTATTCAATAAATTACATTTAGTTATAGTTGTACATATAACTTTGTATTAATTTTATGTATTTATTGGCGTTACAGAAGAGTACACAAGCGCCGACACTCACGGTCGGCAATAAGTTGACAACAACGCGTGTGTTTTCACAAGACAGCACAGCTCAGAAAACTTCTATCATAGGTAAATAATATTTTATATACATATTAACTATAAATATCTATTGATAGAGAGAGGAGCTTGGACGGTGGAGGTAAGCGTTTAACGCGCGTTAGATCGGGGCCCCTTAAACCTACATTTGTAGTGCGAGCACGGTTCTTTATGTCGACTCTTATCGAGGCATTTATCGACGTTTTTGACATTAGACGTAGATATAACAACATTGGTAGCATGGATCTCAATTTTGTCGAGTTATGTCTACACCTCGATAAGATCGATATAGTTTATCGATTCCTGTCAATTTTAAATTACAATGTCGGCATGGTTCTTATTTATGACAGTTGTCATTGATATATTTTCGTTAAACTTGTCTACACTTTAAAGTTGGTCGATAAAGAAATTCGTTATAAAAAGGAAGTGAATTTCAAGGAAAACCTGTAAAATGGACTTTGGGGTACTATTGTTTTGGAGACAGAGGCCGCCAGAAGAGTCCGCGATGAACAAAGAATTCATCGGCGGAATCTCCGAGATCTAAGTAAAAGCTTCGATTTAGGAGAGGAAGAATTCTGAATTTACTTTAGAATAAATAACGAAATCGCCTTAATTTTTAACTCAGTTCAATGAAATGATGAAAACCACACTTAGTGCATAAATGAATAGCCAAATACGAATTCTGTTGGAAGTATTATCAGAAATTACGAATTTTTCATACAAACTCGACCCCGTTTTTTTTCTTTTTAGGGGGGAATTTCCAAAAAACCCGAATTACGCTGGTCTTATATCTTGACTGAATAGCTAAATAAGAATTTTCTTAATAAATGAAAAAAAACCGCATTAACTTTTATCACCCCTTTTTTACATGTAAGGGCAAATTTAAAAAAAAAACGTATTCTAGTCATCCTTAGTTTTTCTTATGTTATTATTAATAGGTATTATGTTATTTGCTGCTACGAAACTCTCCATGGGCGAGACCGACTCGCACTTGGCCGGTTTTATTGAGACTAGCTTGACACTATCGAGTGCCATCAACATATGGTTAACTAAAATGCTATAAAGGAGAGAGCTGGCAACATCTATGAACGATGGATGAATGGAATATATTATTTAACTGACGTTGCCAATTTTTATATCGATAAAATAAAGCGCTCGACGCTTCGATAAACATATCGAAGCGAGTTCCGTGCTACCATCCCTCGTTAAAATTCGATAAGTATATCGAATTTATCGTCTCGATATGTTTATCGATCAAAGATCCGTGCTCGCACCACTGGGTCGCAAGTCACAGTCACTGTTGAAGCTCCTCTCCCTGCAACGATGGACCCGGCGCACAGTGGGAAAACCTCATACAAGGCCGTCTCAAAACCCCTTCACATGAAAGTTGTTGTTATGGAGTAAAACTAATTAATTAATTTAATTTTTTAAATTAATTTTTGCAAACCATAATGTATATTTAAAGGCATCAAAGTTAACTCATGTTGTGATTTTTGCCCAGTACATTTCTACAATTCAATGCCACATTACTCGAAAGTTTTTATATAAATGTATAAGTATTATACATTTTGTAAATGCTTATAATATACTTATAACGTTTCTTAAGTAATATTTTATATAATAAATAAATAAATTACAAAATTACCAACATACTTTAAGATAGTATAATTTAGGGTAACTTTTTTTTAACGAGACCTAACCTTTTACCGCTGTCGAGATATTTATTGTATTACGATCTTTATACATTAGTTTACACAGGGAGAAAAAAAATTGCGCCTACTTGGGCCTTTTTTGATACGATGCCAAAAGATATTAATTTTTATTTTTTAAATAAATTAATAAACATAATTGTCAAAATTATTATTTTTATATTAAGCCTTATACTTTCAGGTATATGTGTGCATAATTATAGATCATGTAGTTTTGAACAACTGAGATACGGATTTTTGAGACGAAACATACGCGATTTTCCCACTGTGCGGCGTCCGCACGGTGAATTCATTCAATGATTAGAAGTTTCGTCTCTCTCTAGTATTAACTAATTAAGTATTTATTTTACCAATATGTTGCTGACAAATAATATGTCATAATACTGTCTTTGAATGTTCTAGTGAGTATGATGGAGGATCAGAGTGGTAATCAGACGATGAAGTGTGTGGGGACATACAAGGCGCCCGGGAGCTCACAGATGTCACCGCTAGTTGTTAATAAACAAGTAGGTAGTGCTTTGTTATGTAGCCGTAAACAGATATAAAATAAAATATACTTATTGCATATATTTTGTGGTATAAACAGTGTTTTGTATGTTTAAAATCAAATTCCAAATGATTTATACTTAAATAAGCATATGAGCTACACATAATGTAATTCAAGTATCTGGCTTTTATAAGAATTTTCAATTGCAGCGGAACAAGATAAATTTTGTAAAATAAACTTTACTTGAAGTAAAAGTAACAAAGTAAAAGTTACTTTACTTTTACTTTGTATCAGATTATTTATTATCAGAAATAGTTTGCTTGATACTTTGTATCTCTTTGATTCTTATTGATACGCAATTTGAATTTAGACGATTAAATATCCAGCGTGTTTATTATTTGCATTAACAAGGCTCTTGGGGCAAAAAAAATCTATTTTTTCACATCTTTATGCTATCTTATGTTGCCTGTTGCTGCTACCTATATGCTTATTTCTTATTGTATTAGTAGATAGTGTAACGAATTTGTCAAAAACAAAAAATGTGTTATGTGTGACAATTGCTTTTTTAAAATTCAGTCTTATGTAAAGGAATTGTAGTACTTTGTCAGTGTACATGCATGTATAGCTTAGAGAAACTAGTATTACAATTCTAGTGATGTTGTTTTATTTTCTATAATCGATGATTTTAGGTTGCAGCCAGATCCTTCTCTTAAAATACTTTTATATATAAAAATATATATCGTTGTAAGGATACCTGGTTAGTTAATGATTTATTTGTTTATACAGATCATGAATACAGATGAAGGTTCAAAGAAGGTGGTGACGTCTGGCGGTTACCTCATAGTGGGAGGAACCACACCGCTAGTTACACCACCGAGACGCACACACACCATACAGTACTACACGTGAAAAACACCTGACACATAGTGCCATCTGTGATAGACTATAGTGCATTAGATTACAGTCGTTTTACAAATACTGTACCTATTCAGTGTAATCTTTCAAGAATTAAGCTTTGAATTCCGTAATTCAGTTTTTGACATATAAATAAAAAAAAATAGTGATTTGTTTTGGACTGTTCTTTAATTTCAACTTTTCATTAATACTCATATGCTCAATGTCTAACCAGATTAATTGCTGTTTTCCCTTTACTTGGACGACTTTGAAAAACGGTTGTACTATTATAATATTTGGGTATTAAATAACATTTTGTAAATAATGAAAGTTAAATTTATCTGTAATGAAAAATCCATCTTCTTATTAATAGGAATTGATCATGCAAAGCGTACACAAATGTTTCTTGTAAGGTAAAGTCATTATATTTTTAAATATCTATTCTTGACTATTTTGTATTAATTGTATTTCCCAATTATCAAGAGTTTTTGTGACTTTGAAATATTGAATGCCAATCTAAATTAAGTGATGTGTATATATAATGTAAATTTTAATGATTGTATAATTGACTGCATGTTATAATGATAAAAGTTCATGCATTTATATGAATGTGCGAACACATTATTCAATATATATTCTATACTTTTTCGAACCACGGATTAACATATAAAATAGAAAGGTGAGCTCCAAAGCCATTTTAACATATAACAGTAGATTACAGTTCTAACACAATATATAAGAATTATGTTTCTAAAAATATACAATGATAATTAAGAGATGACTTTAAATTATTAAATATTCCCTTTTCTTTGATTGTATTTCTCTTAATATTGCTATGTTTAGAGTAAAAACTAAGAAGGCAGAATAAACATTTTAAAAGGATTTCTTCATGATATGTTAAGACTGTTAATTTAAGTTAAAATAATTTAATAATTTCTGTATTTTGTTACATTTATGAATATTATGCTTTGTGTCTGGTGAATATATGAAAAATATGATCAGTGACAGCAAAATTTTGTTACACTCGGCAACAACCTATTGGCATAGTTTTACTTTGAAAGTAACTTATTGTGTTGTTATTTGGTCTCTGTATATAAAAATAAGTGTACATAATGTTCACTGTAGAATTTAATATACAAGCTTCGGTTTCTATATTTTAAAGAAATATGATTTAATTTTTATTATATTTTAACTCTCAATGTTTTTTTGTTGACCAAACAGTAAGAATTTCTATAAATGTAAGTCTTTTGCTTGTGCAAAATATTGTCTTTGTAAACAGCGGCAGGTTTGCGCTCGTAGTATCCTTACTTCATTATTATTTTAATTCATAAAGCCTCATTTTTTGTAAGACATATTTAGAGGATTGAAATATAAGTATCTTGTACAAATTACATTACTTTTAATGTATTCATGACTGCTTAGTCATTCTCATGTGGAATTATTTGTTGCCATGGCAATACTCTAGATGTATAAGATTCGAAATGTTTTAGTTTCAATAAAGAAATTATAATTATATGTAAAACTGATTTTTTTTTTACCCGAATTTCTTATTAGTTTATGGTTATAGCATTTTCCCTTATTTGTTTCTGAAGAAAAACTTACTTTTAACAGATTAAAAGTAATTTTTCTTTAATTATGTATTATAAATTGATAATTTTTCAAATCTGAATTATTTAACTATAAAGACACCTTTTTAAGTTGTATATACATCCTTGCTTCATAAATAATAAAAGTATTTGCCTCCTTGTGACTATTTTAGTTCAATGTGAACAAGCTAAATTTAGGCTAAATATTTTGATATAAAGAATTATGTTAGAATAGTTTTGCATTTTATGCAGTCACTAAAAAACATCATGAAATACAAGTAGCGATTGTTTTTACATCCCAAAGGTTACCTGGTAAAGATAGCAACAGAAAACACAAAGCTTGCCTTTGAGCATAATTCATATATTTTTGCAAGGTGAAGGTTGAATATTTGGTTTCTTAATTAATCTTAATCAAATGACCTCACCTGATCATATATTTTACAATTTTTTTCTTCTGGGAAAATCAAATATTAGTACAAATAACTTCCAACTTTTATATTGTAACAAAAATGCAGTCTAATTAAAAATAAGTTGATAACAAAATGACCATCACACAATGTATACCTAGACTATTTCAGTAATATTTATTTATTTTGAGGAAAATCTTAAATTATATTTATATCACAGTCAAAAATGTCAGTATACAAGTTAAATTAAATAGAATTCTGAAATATAACAGAAGTGTTAACATTGAAAGAGAACAGAAAAAATATTTTGTTATTAAAGAGAAAAACGATCCAAGTAATAAGTTTGAAGAAATATTGTTAATTTAATACATACATAACTTTAACAAATCATTTACTCATTAAGTTTATTCTTAATTAGTTATAAATAAAGTAATATTTATTTATTATACATAGCAGCTCCAGCCTTGGCCAGTTGATCAGCCATTTCATTGCCATGTATTCCTCGATGTGCTTCAACATAGATCCATTTAATATCAATCTTGTTCTGAATACTATCTAACTCTTTGAAGTCTTTTTCATTTTTCACCGGCTCCCCTGACGCTAGTTTCCAACCTTTTCTCTTCCAACCTGAGAATAAATTTGTTATTTAATTTACTAATGTACTAAACCAATGTAATGTATGTAAGTAAATTTTTTGTTTAGTCAACATGCTTAATTAGAGGCAAAAAAAGTGACATATATACCTGAAATCCACTTGGTAACTGAATTTATTAGAAACTTAGAGTCAGTATTTATGGCCAGTTTAGTAATTCCATTGTCTATTGCAGTTCTTATAGCCTCCGTAGCTGCTTGGATTTCACCGCAATTATTTGTTGCTCTTCCAGAGACTGGTTTACTAATATTTAAAGGGTGTCCCTCGCCCCAGAACACTCCGAGACCGGCTCGGGCACCATTCTTCCCGTTAGATGAACAAGCTCCATCAGTATACACTTGAACATAACCATCTTCATCAAATTTAAAGTCATCACCATTATCACTCGCACCTTGCATACCCTGTGGTTCAATCAGTATACTTTTACGTTCACCTTTAGCGCTTTTTTTAATAATTTTATCAACGCCTTTTCCAAAACCTTTCAACCTTTTTTCAATATCATTCATCTGTTTGATTAATATATTATTTAAATCGTCCGACGCCTCCGAATCTGAATCTTTGCTGCTTTTAGACTTCCGATTAGATTTTGATTTTTTCTTCGGAATATCGTCATTATTTTGTTGGGTTGTAGACGTAGAGAAATTTCTTTTGAGGTTAGCAGTATTTTTGGGAGCATTAGACGAGACATTTTGTTTGGCTTTACTAGACGTATCTTTATTATTACCCTGTGTTGTGATGAACTCTTGGGCAGCTAAGACAGAATCAAACTTTTTGTATCTGGCACCTGGAAACCCTTTTACTTGTGCTTCGCAATCCGGCCATGTCATATAAATTCCAGCTGTGCGTCCCTTTGCTACAGCATAAAAAGGCATTTTAAATATGTCGATATTTTTAAATAAAGATTTAGTAACAGTACGTAAACTGGGTCTGAGAAATACGTTCCATAACATTTATTTATTTAAAACGGTCGCATACGTTATGAAAGTTGTGACTTGTGTCAAATTTTGGCTCCAGACTCAAAACTGTCACAAAGTAAACATAAATGTCAAATAGACGTCTAATTTCAATGCTGCATTCACAAGACTGCTATTTTGTATAAACTAAATGTTGTTCATTTGTATTCTTACTTTCTTAAAATCTATGCAACATACTTTAATTAAAATCTATAATTTTAAATAAGGACTAGCCACAACTCACGAGGTCAGGTTTAGTCAGTGGTGGCCTAGTGGTTAAAGGGCGCGGGTTCGATCCTGGCCCTGGCAAGTACTAATGTGGTTTTTCCGAGTCATACGTATTTTCTAAGAGTATTTAGACATCACTGATTAATGCATTCCCAAAAGAGGGCTGATGTCAGGCAGGTGACCGGTCGTAAAAACAATTAGCCAAAAACTATTCACAATACGTAAGGCAGACCCTGGCTAAAGCTAGGAAAATTGCCAGGTAGAAGAAGACAACTCACGAGGTAGAAAGGTCGATTATATGAGTTGATTTTCTTATTATATATTATGAGTTTTATTCTAGGGTTGAAATATTGAAATTTATTAACATTTGAAGGATTTGCATTTTTCAAAACCCCTTTTGCACAGACATATGTGTTGTTCATATTTGAAAGTGTTGTTTGCAGAGTTAAAATAAATGAATAAATTTGTACGTGTATCTATTCACAAAACTAGTTTGTTAGGAATATAGAATTAATGGGGTATTATTTATTGCTCTATCTAAATTCGATAAGTATTAGGGTTCATTTTTATAGTTCAGCCGGCATCTAACTCTTAAACCACCCGTGGTACATATTTTTACAAATACTTTTTCATAGATTGATATTGTTACCAGTTTTGGATCTTAGTTTTTAACTTTGTTTTAGTCTAGTTCATATTTTGCTTTGCTTATCTTAGTTTTATACTTTAGTCTGTATCTTAGTAAAAAAAAAATAAATAAAAAAAAACAATGTTGTATACACCTATAAGGGATGATCATACTGATTCATACTTGGTGCATGTAATTCTTGTGTTAGCTATTATGATAAGCCGATGGAGTATCTGTTTATAAATAAATAAATAAATAGACATAAATGATGCGCATTACTTTTGCCGATGGTATGATTAAATAAAAATGCTAATTATATAAGATCTGAATCAATAAAGACCGGTATAAATCAACAAAATTTAGGTTCAAATTATTTGTTTAGTATAAATATGAATATTCATAAATATTATTATGTTCTATCGATTATTATTTTGTCACAGTTTTAGAACGCTTTGAACACACAACTATTATAAAAGGGCGGAAATCTTATCAATATAAACGTCACTTAAATATAATTAGGGTTTAAATCAAATAAAACTTTTAAATTAATTAATACCATAATGTACTTTATTAGGATAATTAACTAGGTCTGTCACCTGTAGTTTGAAACACAACAAATCTACGTCTTTGACTTTTCCAACATTTGTAAAAATCTGACGTGTACACTTAAATCTAATATTTTTTTAAGTTACATACAAGATCAAAACAGTAAACATTGTGTAATACATAATCGAGAGCAAGATTACCAAGTAAAACATACATAACATTGAAATCTTCCCAATTAGTTTAATAATGACATAAACAATTTTAAATATTATCATTACGAGACACGAAATACGCGTATCGAAACGTTATTATATCAGTTACGAACTGTTAACATTAAAAAACGTTTTAGTAGCCATAAAATATTGGAAAAATTAACTTACTTATCATAAAATGATTTGTCATATATATTTCATAGTGAGGACGTAAAACAAAATGCAAGTAACTAATTCAAAATAATTCTCAAACTCATATATTAGAAGTTTTCTTTAGTAAACTAACTATGTTTGTAATGGCACTCATACATGTCGATTGGGGCGCTTGGAAGATATCGTTGGCTTATATTAGGCTTTAATTTGCCTTATAAAATAAATTAATATTAAACATTGTACAAACAAACATTAACTCGTATCCATCTACAATTCTATTAAAACTAACCTTATTTAAGGTGCTATTTGGAAAAAATCCCTCTCGTTACATCGTAAACTAAACGTAAACACACGCTTGAAGACATTTTAACTATTAACCTAAATTAGTTGCATCTTAAAAATAATGATACAAATATCATAATACTAATAAAATATACTAAAATACAAACGAACTTCAACGATATCAATTCAAGTTTGTTTTAAAAACTTAACTACAAATTACAACTAAATCAACTATAAATATGATCGATTTCGACAAAATCAAGATCGAATGTTAAAAGTATATTAAGAATTACAACGTTTTTATAAAATTTGTAAAAAAAAAATACGTGAATAAGTTTTGGTTAATACGATTGGTTAGTTCATTGATTTGTTGAAGAAATTGAAATGACTAGTCATTAGTAACGTCAGATTGTTATGAATTAGGCGCGTTTACATTATTAATGTACATTAAATTACAAATATAGTAATTATAAACATACCTAATTTTATAACTTAAAAATAACGCAATCATAAAAACTTTTAATCTAAACAAAAATCAACTCATAACCTAAAAGTGATAAACATCGATAGGTATTTCAAACAACCGATTCTTTGGCCGTTGGTATCTGTAGTGTATATTAAAGTTTTCACTGGGTAGACCATCTGTAGGTTTGTTCAGCACCCTGTAGACTAGAGAATAAGACCTAGCTTATCTACAACTTACAAGCTTATTTACAGCTGATACTGATCGTTCTTGTACATATATCCGGTATTACAAAACAGATAATACACATTGTAAAATATTATTAAGAACAAATAAGACGATTAAATAAAATCGTTTGAAATTATAACGAAATATAAACAAAACAATTTAACATTTTCTGGGAGTAGGGATCCACAGACAAAAAATGTAATCGTAAAAAGTATTTTTGAATTGAGATATATTTTCAATAAAAAATGAGATTCTCATATAGCTACGTGGTGAGTTATTAAGAATATATATTTTTTAACTATTCACTACATTCATACAAAACTACACAAAATATTTAAAAAATTTAATACTTGCAATAAATATGATAGATCTACATACACGTTTTAATTAAATTAATTTAGTGCTAAATCATTATTATTGTATTAATTTGACACTATTTATCTAGCATTAACATTTAGGAGGCCATTTAGAAAAATATTTTATCTAAATTAATATCTGTGCGTGTTTTCTAATTTATTATTTAAAAAAAGCATGGCGGTGGTGTTTTTAATCTACTTTTTAATTTTCGTATCCAAAATATTTATCTGTGGATGGAGTGATGATATGATTTTTGTGATGACGGATTGATTTATTTAGAAATGTTTTTGCATTACAATTATGTATAATGTATGTAAATAAAAAATAATATATTTTTGGCAGTGAGAAATTATAGTTAATCATAGATAGATAAAACAAGATAACCGTCAGATGTACGATCTAGGGTTTTATAGTGAGAAATCCTTCTTAAAGGAACATATAGGTTCAAACGCAATCCTATTTATTAGATACAGATTACTATCGTAGAGTACTGGGTTTGACGTAATAACATAGACTAAATATAGTGATGTATTTAGAGGAACGCAAAAAAGTTCATACTTAAATGAATCTATTTATCTTGTTCATTATGATTAGACTAAATGATCCAATTCTTCATGACAAACGTGTTCTCATATTACTTATACACGTACCTCTAAATAGTTCACTATTTGTAAAAAAAACTTGCATATGATTATACTCGCTACACTAAAAAAAACCTTGTAAAACGACCATAATACTAAGAAAACAATGCGACTATCCGAAGCGATGTTAAAACACACCGTGAAGAACGGTTTGAATCTATGAAATGTCCACGATTATTAAACAAGGCACGTACCACGAACCACGATACGTTCCGATATAACATTAACGAACATCTCACTGAGTACATTATTGCACTTCTTTGGTGTCAAAGTCATAGCAGCGCGCAGTGGCGAGGCAACATGCTCTATATGGAACACTCGTCGCTCTCTCGAGCGTAGTCCTCATCGTCTTCTTGGTTCCTTGTTTTTTTCACTTTACTAGACACTACACCGGTATTCACTTTACTAAACACGTTTCGATTCAACCGCGCCGCCTCTCTCTGCGGGCTGAGTCTCTCCGCGACAGCCCTTTCGTAATTGTCTGATATTTTGCTAACACCGTTCACTGGGCTTGTTGGTGATTTCACAGTTTTTGGAGTTTTCTTTACATCATCAACTAAATGTCCGCTAGTTGCCGCTGTATATGACGGCGGGTCTTTCGCCCTCGCGCCGCTTGTGTTCAACAGTTGCGAGTATAAGAAGCTGTTGTTGAGGCCGCATCTGTCCATTTTGTTGGTCATCATCATCAAACTGACGGGTTTTTCAGGTGGTATTGGTTTTTCTTTTCTGTCGGGGAGGTTTTTGTTCCATTTTTCGTTGCCGATCGAATATATGGAGCTTAGGTTGACGAACCCACTGGCTGGGGTCCTGTTGATAACGGGGTCTCGACCCCTAGCTGATAACCCCTCACTGAGAGTAGACTCCTCCACACTGGAGTCTTCTATAGCCTCCGTGTTGGTGACGTCATCTACATTAGGCGACAGACAGTCGTCGTCCGTCTCATCGTATGAGCTGGAATTCATACAAATAAATTAGTTTAACTCAAATATACATATAATACTTTATATGTACTGAATGCAAAGTACTCCAGGACTGAAGTCGGGTTAGTCGCTCATGCTAATGCTATGAATGCCAATGAATATTTATATTATTTACAAACAGAAGCTGTGAGGTCGATGAGAGGAATAGATTTACAGGGAGTATATTATATGTTTCATCAGTAAGGCAGACCAAGCCAGTGAAATGGCATCCTCAAACAACAATGTATGGCTCATTTTAAGCTGGTGTTCATTTAATTTGACGTAATTGGAGTATTTCATCAGAAATCATGACGGAAAGTGCGTGTTCGTGTGACAAAAATGTCAAAAGTGCTCATGTTCTTTCATTGATTCTGTTAGATAGTTATTGACATGTCCTTGGAGGCAAAAGGAAGCCGTTTGCTTAAAAATAGCTCTTTTTCCGATATAATAAGGTTCAATGCAGCATAACACATTACATACACTGCAATACAACACACTCTTACCCTAGCATAGCCAGTTCTGTCTTCCTCCCTGATGAAAGAAATTAGAATAAATAAAAAAATATACATATAAATGACAACTAAATGATACAAATATATAATAAAATAAAACATATAAATAAATAAATAGCGATTAAATAGATAGAGATATGAATTTTTCCTACAATGATTTCCCTAAATCAGGATTGCATTCAGAACATATTAGTGGTACTTAGCGTTTATTATCTATGGTGCTATCAGGATGCTCTGTGAGCACGAGTGCGCCAAAATTCAATAGTCTATGGTCTAGACTCTAGTGCTTTATACATATATATTTACTTTACCATAGTAATTAAACTTGTGATCTAAATCCTTGTAAGCCATAACGATTTAAACACTTCCTCCCTGTATCCTTATATAAACACAAACGCCTGTTTTCAAAGAGAAATAAACGTTATGTGAAGTTATTAAGGTTTAATTTTATGTTGATTGTTATACTCACATCTGGTCCTGCGCGTCGCTGCCACCTTCTTCGGCTACCAGAAGCTCGTATTCTTCAGCCGCGAATCTATCCCACTCCGACATCTGAAAAAATCATATTATATTGGTTATTTTATCCCTACTAGTATTATAAATGCGAAACTAACTCTATCTGTTTGTATGTTACGCTTTCACGCCTAAACCACTGAACAGATTTTAATCAAATTTGGTACAGAGATAGAGTTGACCTTGAGAAAGAAAATAGGGTATTTTTATCCCAGACTTTTGAAATGTTCTCTTGGAAACGCGATATAACCGAACGCCACGCGGGCGAAGCTGCGGGCGGAAAGCTTGTTAAAGAATAAAGAAATTATTTTACTACAGATAATGTATGTCCAGTATATAACTAACCTCGCAATCAGAATCCCTCTGTGTGGCGAATGGATCTCGCTGTTCGTGGTCGAGATACTTCTCCAGATTGAAGAATGTATCGAAGAAGATCGGCGTCAACTTGCACTTCTTCAGATCTGACAGAGTGATCTTACCTTGCTCCGCCGGATGTACCATGTCTAACATCTGGTAAAATATAAAATATATTTTTTATATGACACTGGCATAATATATAAATATACTGTTTATAAGGCTATAAAAAAAATATTTTTTATAAGCAAAAAAAGTTTGACAGTTATGACTTTGACATTAGGATAGATAGATAACAGTGTTGTTTTTTCATACCTGACATAAACAGTCGACAAACGGCAGCGTTTCTATGCCGATGGCTTCCATCCTTTGCATCTGTTCCTCGTAGAAGTATTCCAGTTCATACATAGAGATGTACCCATCGCCGTCAAGGTCCATGCATCTAGAATGAATGGAAATTGTAGAAGAAACGAAAATAAACTCACAATATATAAACGACTTAAATAAAGTTCATGATGCAAAATTTTATTGTGGAATTTGATGTTTTTGTTATTTGTTTAAATACATATATTTTTTTATGAACACTATTTTATGGATAAGAACACTATTATATGGATACTTTTATATTTGGTATAGTTCTTTCGTATTTTAAATTAAAATCCTATATAGTGTGATTTCATGACAAAATTTCTTAAGACCCCACAAAATTTGTATGTTTCAGGTACCTAATCTAATACCGGTAAAACACGTTACGTATACATACTTGAGTAAGTCTTTACTTGCATAACTATACTGTAACGTGCGTGGCTAACATAAAACTTAATATGACATTTACGTGTCAAAATTGTCTTTTGACAGTTGGCGTGCACCTTTTTAATTCCTCTACACCACGACTGTAATTAATATTTAACACGATACGTTGTATGAAATTATTTAGATTATTTTGGGAATTGTTGCAACAAATATTTTATGTACCTACATATAAAGTATTTTTGGTATTGAAATCTCTGAACGTCCTGTTTAACTTTCCCTAACTCCTCAAAACGACAAATTATATATTGTCTGTAAAGAATAGAATCCCACCGGTTTGTCGAAAACAATGTTTCTTGCACCCTTTTATAGTATTGGGGAGGAGAACTCATCTTTAACTATCATGTGGTTCAGTTGATTAATTCCTAGATGGATCCAACAAGGTTTCTAGATGGCAACGTAATAAATTTAGGTAAACTTAGATAACGCCATGCGCTTGCTACCTTCATACAGATTATATTGAAGGATTTTTTGCTACCATGAGTCGCCTTTTTACATGAATATGATTAAGTCTTTTTTTACATCAGGCCTGTAAAATGCAGGTTTATAATGACGAAAAATACTTAGTAATTCTCCAGGGATTCTTAACGGAACGTTTCAAAAACTTCAATGTGCAATTAGTTGTGCCTTTCAATTAAGTTATTTTATACGACTAAGTAGGACTTAAACGTGATTAAAACATTGTCTTACCCAAAAAAGGACCTTATAATCCCAACAATAAAGTACATATATTAGCTAATAGCTATTATTATCATACCTGAACCAATACTCAATAGCGGTGGGGTGAGTCTTATCTTCCTCAGCCAGTAAGAACCACACGAACTCCGTGTACGACATCCTCGGCTCACCATCTGCTGTGAGGCGGTTCTGGTTCCCGCGGGTCACGCAACCAGACAGCACTCGCTCGATCATACGACTTGATAATGCTGAAAGTGGGCACAGATTATATATATTACTAACAGATAATATCCCTCCTAATATTATAAATGCGAAAGTAACTGTCTGTTTGTAACGCTTTCACGTCTAAACCACTGAACTGATGTTAATGAAATTTAGTACAGAGATAGAGTTGACCTTGAGAAAGAACATAGGATAGTTTTTATCCCAGACGTTTGAAAGGTTTTGTTGGTAATGTTATATAACCGAACTCCACGCGGGCGAAGCTGACTTCGGAAAGCTAGTACTGAATAAAACTAATATTTTCGGACCACTACGCGTTATCTTATGATTTAAAAATGAGATTTTCATCTCGGCTGAAAGTAATTACGATTGCTGTTAAGCAATCGAAACGAATAACGTTTGGTAATCTGAAAACATTAGTTTTATTTAAATAAAAACTCGGGAAGGTCTTAGATCTCGTCAAATCATATACTAATTATAAATATCTCAGATAATTGGTTGGTTAGGTTTTCCAAGCTATGGGCATAAAAATTTTACTTTTCTCTTTTTAAACAAGATAGTTTAAGGATTGGTAATAGATTATTAGTGAAATTATTGACACATACGATAGAAAAAATATTCTTCAAAAAAGCTGTATATCTAACTTTTTTTTCTTTACTCCTAGTTCCTTTGGTACATTAGTTAATATATACAGGGTGACTGGTGAATTACTATCAATCAGTGGCGGCTGGTGGGTAATCGAACCGGTGGTGCACTTTACTAAAATATTAAAATTATAAAATGCAACAAAACATAACGAGATGTCAATCATGGCCCAATCCGTCATACATCGGGTGCTCTCGGTAATCTTCGGCCGCTCGTGCGGCGCTCGAGAACCGACTCGTTACTCGGTACATTTCTATGAACTATCTTTTGTTTCACGCGCCAGGCGTATTAATGCGTATCTCATACAAGATGTATTAGCAGTCCTCGTGCACTCGCCGAAGCGCACGATTGAGTTTAGTAAAGCGCTCAAACTTTTTGACCATAATTAGAAAATTTAATTTTTTATACGTTTTTATATGTTTAAAAAATAAATATTAAGATGGTAATATAAAAATAAAGATGAAGGAATATTTTGTAATTTTTAAATTTTTTGAATTGGTGGTTCAGCGCACGAGTGCACTTAAGGTACAGCCGCCACTGCTATCAATATTTAAGGAGAATACTCGGTACATGATTCTTATTCGAATTATGTAAAAAAAATAGGCACTTAATTTTTGACAAAATTTCCGTATAAATAAATAAAGTGTTGACACGTTCCAAGTGTTCCAAGTGTGGACGCGTGCGGCAACGTGCTGATACAACACCACGCCGCCGCACGCGTATGTGTGAGTGTGTGTGTATACCTAATCTGTAGGGTGTTCACACGATGCGTAATTAATTACATAACTTTTGGTTAACTTTACTTAGAAGTTTATTAATATTTATGTTATATTAATTTTTATTTTGTCATATATGATCGTCAAATATCACGTCCTCAAGTATCGATAGTAATTCACCAGTCACCCTGTATACTAAAATTTAACGTTTATGTATTATTGAGTATTAATATTTAGGTTTACGAGTGACTTTTGCAATGACGTTTAGAATTAGATTCGGTGTTGCAAGATTTCATGCTTTGAAAGTATTAAACTATCAAGCGGCTAAGGTCAATAATTTGCAAGAAATAATTCATTTATATATAAAATGTATATTTAATTAAGATACATAATAACTTTTTATATTTACCGTGATCGTTGTGCCGCGCCAGATCGTGTCTGTCAATAAACAGGTCGTGGTCTTTATCCAACTCCCAAAACTTGCAGTAGATGACGTAGAAATGTTCGTAACTGGAAGAAAATAATATATTACATTATATATTAGGAATATTTAAAAAACAGCAATTATAGAAGGGTTATTGATAATAGTCAAGCTGATAAAAAAAAATCATAAAACCTTAAATGCCTTTCAATTATGTAATAGTATAAATTTATAATCTATTGGCTGACCCGGAAAACGTTGCTTTGTAATATAAAAATCAGGGATTGGTTTTAAAAAGTAAAATTGTTGTGTTGTATGTATATTTTAATGGCACATTACAAAAAATAAAAACAAAAAATTTTTAAAAATATTTTAGGGGTGAACAACCCTTAGTATTAATCACTTAGGGGTATGAAAAATAGACAGTAGCTGATTGTAAGAACTACTGAATACACATATAAATTTTGATAAAAATCGGTAAAGCCGTTTCGGAGGAGTTCTTTGTCTAACATCAGGACTCGAGAATTTTATATATAAAACTAGTAGTTTTGGAGATTAGCGCTTTCAAACAAACAAACAAACAAACAAACAAACTCTTCAGCTTTATAATATTAGTATAGATATAGTCTGTTTGAAATTATACCTAAGCATCTTGAAATATAAGTATGTATGCAGTGCCGGCGTTAGGAAAGATGGAATATAGATTTCTTAATACACGTCCAGTGTTCAAATGATTCAGAAAAAAATTAATACACGATTTTGATTTCTTCAAGTGGGCGCCAAAATATTCTTGGGTATCAGTCCCTCTAACGCCGGCACTGTATGTATGTGTTTTATTAAGTAATAGTAATTACCTAAAGTATTGCGTCACTTGATTAATATCCTCTTCGTCTTCTAACAGCTGTATAACCTGCAGCAGGTTGGACCTCCTCAATTCTGGTATGGATATCCTTCCAGACCAAGTTCGGTTCACACAGTAAAATATCCTAGCGATCACCTGAAAGCGGGTATCATATAAAAAAGTTTAATTATTTGTTTTTTTTTTTTGAATACGGCCTCCATCCGTGCAAAGATATACACAGTATATTCTGCCAGTGTCGTGTAGAAAAAGATATGATTCGGCATTAACTTAGGAATGTAATAATATTTAACAGAAGCTGAAGTCACAATTAGGAACTTTAGATTTAAAAGTTCGTTTTGCTTATAATTAAATATTTTGTTTTAAGTGATATTGGCAGAATATATTGTGCTTATTTCTTACTGGTAAGGGCCACAGATTAAAAAAATAAAATAAAAATTTTGATATTTTATTATCTATGGAAAATAATATTAAAGTATATTATATTTTTACTATGTATACAGGGTGACTGGTGAATTACTATCGATACTTGAGGACGTGATATTTGACGATCATATATGACAAAATAAAAATTAATAAAACATAAATATTAATAAACTTCTAAGTAAAGTTAACCAAAAGTTATGTAATTAATTACGCATCGTGTGAACACCCTACAGATTAGGTATACACACACACTCACACATACGCGTGCGGCGGCGTGGTGTTGTATCAGTACGCCGCCGCACGCGTCCACAGTTGGAACACTTGGAACGTGTCAACACTTTATTTATTTATACGGAAATTTTGTCAAAAATTAAGTGCCTATTTTTTTTACATAATTCGAATGAGAATCATGTACCGAGTATTCTCCTTAAATATTGATAGTAATTCACCAGTCACCCTGTATACTGTTTCGTTTATATATCAGAGAAAGGTTTAACATTTCGTAAACAATGTTCAAAAGTATCATGATCGCCGTTTTACCAATACACCTCTCCAAGGATTACTTTCTAAGTTATTGGTATTGAAGAAAAATATTTGCTCAAAATATGTTCTTGTAGCAAAACTATATACTTGAAATGTTACACCAAGTTTAAATGATAAAAGTTTTGGTGTTTTGAATTAATAATATAAAAACTTAAGACGAAATCATAATGACAAATGAAGTTCAAGTTTATTATAATCTATATTAGAATTTATTTTTTTGTTTTATTTATATTTGTATGTAATAATTTAAATCGACTCACAGTATGTACGTATCGGGAGTGGAATTCTGTGGCTTCCTTTAGGAATGATAGTCCAGGGTGGGTGTCAACTACGTCTTGGACCAAAGGAACGAAGTCTTCTGGCGTCAGACTGCTGCTCTTACCCCGGGTCAGGATATACACGAACCGGGAGGCCTGGTCGTGGCATTGGGTTGTCATCCTGAGACATAAAAAATAATATAATATAGGCAAAAAAGAATTTAATTATATTTTTTTTAATATCTAGATATTAGAAAGCAATTCGATGTAACTATAAGTATTTTCATCATTCGACGTGGTATAAAAAGTCTATGATAAAATCCATTATAATTAGTCAGTTGTATAATCCTAATTATTTATCGTAGAAATAAAGAAGCTATTTTCGTAAAAAGAATATTAATCATTTAAATACTAAATCAGGTCAGTATTATATGTACGTATTTTGAATTTATTAAATAAAAATATGAATCCATTGTTTATAAACCGATTTTTATTATTGCAGCATCATTATTATATAATCTGTGCATTTAAATGATTCAAAAGCGATTCAAGAATATACATTTATATAAAATTTAAGCTCAAATATTCGCTCGTCAATATTAAATGTGACATATGTCAACTAGGGATTGCTTACTCTCTCCAAAAGTCGATATATTTGTGTCCGTCAACAGCGGCGTTTAGTTTCTGCTGCGTGGCTAGGAACAGCGGCATTTTCCAATACAGTGGACACTCGCACGCTTTCACAATATGTTTAAAGCTTTCTCGGGGGACCTGGGAATAAAAAAATATATTTAGATTAGTTTCCATTTGCTTACAGATACATAGATTTTAATAAAATTACTTTTGTATTGATTATTCTACGTAACTATTTTAAAACTGAATTTTATTATCATGTAAAGTTTATAAAACCGTTCATGTTTTCTTTTAAGACTATACATTATGTAGGTAAGTAAATTTCTGAACAGAAACCCAACATTTAATTTAAAATACATATAATAAACAACTAAATTGGAAGCAGTTGAACATATAAATCCACATATTTGTACACGATTATGTACTTTCAAAATCTATACATAAATACGTATTATTAGAAAATAATTATTATTCCACAAGTCTACAAAGCATCCTTGTCCCACACGTATGCGAAATACGTGATTGTAAACAGTGAATGCTCGATGGAATTTTAAACTCTGTTTTGAAAACAATAAAGACATTTACAGTAACACAAAACATTGTCAGCTAGGTTACGTAGGTTTTATGGGAAATCATGTCTTATTTGTATGGTGATAATATAACAAATGGCATAGCAAGTTGTCTTGGTCACTCAAGTCCCGCGGGTGGCCTGTGACTTCCGTCAAGTATATAGGTCGCTGACACGTGTCGTATAACAATATACTCGGTATTATAATTGTCATATTTGAACTCCTCGTTAATCTATGGATACACTTCTGTGTATCAAAATATTTTTCCTACATCTTTCTTTGTTTTGTCTACTCATGAATATTATACATACTTTTTTGGGTAAAGTATATCTAACATATTTTGTTTATACATATGTACATATTTTGTCATAAAAATTTAACAAATGAAACACATAAAACCTCTTTATTGTGATTAGTAAATTAATCGTTAATATGTACTAAACTCAAATAGAATAGTTTCATATGACTTTTTTTTTCATTATTTTACCGCTAAAAGGTTTTAATTGTAAGTTTTTGCTAACTATTACTACCAAGGAGGTGGGATACTACGTCTGTGTCCATCACTAGAGATGGTAATAGTTTTATCTATACAAAGCGGCTAGAAACATTTCCTTAACTTACGTAATATTCACTAAGTAGCCCATTCGCTATAAATAAGCAAAGCGTCGTGACCCACTTCCGCGGTCAATGACCCCGTGAGTTAGGGAAACGATGGATTGGAATATGGGGACTCAAGGGCGCAGCAGATTGATATGGTTGAATAGACGATATAACTAAATTCACAGGTTCAAAATATAGTATTAGGAATTACAGTAGTATTATTATGATGATACAAATGTATAGAATGACTTGATTTGATTTACTAAAGGGATAATTGCTATTAAAACATTATGTTTAAACTGTGGTTATATGAAAACGGCTGGCAATTTTAAAGCAGATCTTATTAGTGGTTATATATAAATATATATGGATAAAATTGTTAAGTTTCTTTAGTTTTGAATCAACGAAATCTGTAGAAACACTATTGAATTTTTTTATATTTAATATTTTTGAAACAACGACAGTTTTCTAAATAGATATGTTAGATCACGATTGTACGACGTTATGTTGAAGTTTAGACACATAAAATTATATATCATATTTATATTGTAATATTCAATGTTTATTTAATAATCTTAGGCAGTTTTTTAATTTATGGTATGCCTTCATTCACACTTGAATATTTTGTTAATGACAGTATTATTATTAATCGAATGTTTTATAATATAATCTAAAGTACTGTGCAGAGAAAACACGAATTATTGTTTTTTTTTTTAAACCAGAAACTTACTGTTAAATTAACAACTTCAACTTCATTAATGTGAATTACTTCATTATTGTCAAACATTGCTGTCATTTTTTTAATTTAAATATTAATATTTCGTCCAACAAATAAAAACGTTGACATCGGCAAAATATTCCACGATTCCAGTGTGAATGAAGCCATAGCTTAAAAATATATTACGCCCATCATCATTTAAATCGTGTTACAAGTATTAAAACTTCATTAGCAATCAGAACAAGATAAAAGCGATGTTCGGACGTGATGAGATTTTAAATTAACATCTCGTATGTAGAGATGAAGATAGTGATTGTGAATAATATAAGAGGAGAAATCTTAAACGCTGACTTTGAATGTGAAAGACATTCAGAGAAACTGTGTGGAAATTGTAAAATAATTCATTTGTCATTACTATTATTTTATGCGAAAAATCACATGTAGCAGTGCTTTAGGAATTTTTCTGATAAGAAAATTAGTGCCATTTTAATATCAATACTACAAAAGCTTGGATGAATACGTGAATTTATTTCAAACAGACTAAATAAATTTCGTTAACCATTGTTGGTTTGTATTTCTGTCATATTCTTAAACATGAATCTGATTAAATAAATATATATTTTATTTTCAGAAATATTACATATTGTATATGCCATCAATTTATTCTTCATTTCAATCAATTAAAAACCAATTTATTTTTCATTTACAAAATTAAGAGAGATTTTTATATAATACCTACAAAAAATGTGAATAATAATACTAATAACATATATTATACATATTTAACAAATAATATCAATAAATTTATATATAACCAAAATTATTCTATTTAAAAATCTTACAGATGGCGTGATACATTAATCGTTGATTTATCATCGAATAAAAAAAATATGATTATCTAAGACCATTTCTTATGTCAAATATTACGAAAAACTGTCAAGAAACAGTTTTTAAGCTGACATCAATAGGTTAGCCTCAGTGTAGTTGATTGAGGAGTAGTTTTTAGGTCAAATATACGTCTTGCTATCTGAACATCAGGCCGCAGGGAGTAGGGCACAGCCTGACCCATGCTACTTGCTTCTTTTGGAAGAAAGTAGTCACAGTATTTACTGTTCAAATATCTTCACCATTCAAGTAATATGTGAATATACATATAGTTTGTGCATCAAAGTTTAACTATATATATAATTATATACTTGTAAATAGTTTCCATTTTAATACGAGTATTTTACCGGATATTAACGAAAATGGTTTAAGGAAGAGCATTTAACCTTTTGTATTCGGGCATCGTTATTTCCAAACCATATATGAATTGTGACGAATGATATTCTTTTATTTTAAGTTAAAGGTTACTCATATTTAATGGTGAAGTAAATTTCTGACAAGGACTGTTTTTTGTGTGATGACGTCTATATATAAATCGGTGGCACTTTAAGTTCAATGACCGCTGTTGAGTGTCTTCATATGAGAATATAAATAAAATAATATAAGAAAATTCACCAAAAAGAATATATATTTAATCTTAAATTTATACAAAAACTTTAATGTACGCTATTTGATACTTTGACATGTAAGTAGTAAGTCAAGTTTGAGGCGAACTCATGAAGGGTTTCATACCATTATCTAAATACTAAGAAAACTATAATAAAAATTGTTTCTTTCATTGTCTATGTAAGAAACAAGATTTTTACGTTAAATATTTACATTATTTCATTCCTTTAGTATTCTTTGTTATAGTGGCCACAGAAACACAATATCTGTCAAAATTTCAACTATCCATCATGTTGCATGAGAAACGCTCTATAGAGATCGATTTTACGTTTTGGTTACAAAACCCTAAAAATATTATATTGTAGAAATCCCCACTTGTCAAAAAGACCGCCATTTTTAATCTGTAGTCCATAGTGTTAAATTTATTTCTTCCTTTTTTCGTGTACAATGAGAAATGAAATGATGCAACAATATCAAATTAGTTCAAGCAATCTTATTTTATGCAAATATCATTATATAACATCTAAAATGTTTACAGAGTCGTCTGTTCATACATGCTTTGTCATCAATAAAAGGAGGTCAGCCTATTAAAAGTTTTGTAGGAGAGAGTCGTAATAGAAGTAAGAATAGACAGTTTGTTTGACCTTATTTTTGAAAAAACAAACCAATTTGCGCGGTTACTGAATTTTATTTTCGATATATTTTTTATTGTTTTTCAAACAATATAATTGTGAAACTGAGATCATGTCAAAAAATGCGAATTTTTAACCCAATATTTTATGAAAGAGCACCTTAATTAAATTTCGTTCGAGATTAACATAAAAATTAAAATTTGATCTCGATTTGAATCTCAGTAATCTTCTTGTGAATGATTTTACTTCAAGGAATATTAATATCTATTAAAAAAAGTTAATATACGCGACTTACGTCTCAAAATAATATAGGATTTAAATGTGAAAATATAGAAGACATCAAGATTCGACAGTCGTTAACTTTTAAGCATATTGTATTTATTCTTAAAAATCCCCGGTAATCACCAGGAAGTAGGTAGCATATTAAAAATATATTTTATCTATAATTAAAGTTAGACCATAGACAAGAAACAAATACATATTTTTCGTCTGACAATAGTGTTGTATATCCGTGAGAAGTCTCCCACGTCAGATAATGAGACATTCGGATATTTTATCTGTAATAATATCGCATATATGTACCTAATTACAATGTGAATATACAAAATATTTTGCACATTCATAATACTCTTTAGGATTTATATAATTGTGTGTAAAATTAAGATTATCAAACAATTAAATTGATATTAAATATTGTAAGGAATCGTGTTCTTTGACAGCAATATAAAGTCCTATCACTTTGACACCGATTTTTGTTTCATTAAGATCGTAAGCAAGTTTTAATGATCACTTAAAAGTTGAAATGACAAGGACGATAGCAGTCTCATGAGGAATGTAAACAGATTTGTGTTTTTATGACTTATATTAAATTTATTATCTAATATTTATACTCATATAATTAGAAGAGGTTAAGCATCTTGAAAATACTTATGAAATATTATGTACATATAAAAAAAAGATTTTTTTAAGCTTGACATTGAAATAATGCAAAAAGATTTAACTAACTTTTAGAGACTATTTTGAATTTTAAGATATTTTTCAAATGTTGTCTACAAATGTTCGATATCACATTTCAAGTAACAAAATTAAATTTATAAAGTACACAACATATTTTTATAAAAAATGACG